TTTTTTTTTTTTTTTTTTTTTTTTTTTTTTCTCTCTCTCTCTCTTTTTTTTTTTTTTTTTTTTTTTTTTTTTTTTTTAATTTCGATTTCTATTTTTTCCCCCATGCCCTCTCCTTCCTTTGCTCCATCCGTCTTTACACACGACGCGAACCCCAACCCAAAATAATAATAAGAAAAATAAAAATAACAGTAACAATAAACTAATTGAATGAAAATTTACCAAAAAAAATACTAAAAGTCCTGCGGCACACCACAACGACGGTTGCAATGCGACGCTAAACCCGACTTATTATTGGATTTGATATGGGTCCTTACGAAAGTCAGTAGATTGCATTCAATCAATCATCACTGCGAGCGAGGCCTTGTTCGAACGGAGCTCCACCCCTCTCTTTCGCTCTGCCTTTCTTCCCCCTCTCTTTCTCCTCTCTTCCTCTAATCCCCTTCCTTTCGTGGATCGCAGTGCCTGATTGGTTCGCGACTGGTAGAACTGACCGTCCCCCGTGCTAAACGGCAGCTAGGTTTCTTTACTGGGCCGGGTTTAGGGCTTTGTCTTTTTTTATTTTTGCTTTTCGTTTTTTTTTTCTTGCTGCTGACCTTGTTAGATAGTTGTTACCCTTTCACTATTCCGTAGCGTGCATCCACTTGTTCCTCCCCGTGGCTCTGACATCAACCGGTATTTTCCCAATTTACTCCAAGACAAAGCATGAGACAATCAAACTTGGATGACCAAACCGGAACCGACCCAAACGAGTCCAGAAAGGAGGATCAACCCTTTGGACCTGCGTCCGGGTCAAACTCTGTCTATCCTGGATGGACACTGCATTTTCTCCGGACAAGAACTAACCTACCCTGGCTCTTCTAGCGGAGTTGTATGAGCTTTAGTTATTTGCTGGATGAGGCATGATGTCTTGACCTCATCCTTCATTACCCTTTCTTTTTTTTCTTCTTTTTTTTCCCTTTTCCTTTCTATTTTATTTTATTGCACCTACCTCTTTTTTTTATTCAAAAATTACAATTTTATTTTTTTTTGATTTCATATTTTTTCGACTTATTCAATTTTAAATTCAATTCTTCTTATATGGTTTGATTCCCGGAGGGTCTTGGAGTACTAGCCTTTTTTATTTTATTTTATTTCCTGTGAATTTCCGTCGTTATTATTGGGCCTCTATCTCGCATTACCATTCTTGGATATATCCTTTTGCAACTTCTATAACTGGATCTACTTGCAACTTCTCCGCGTGCAAGGCCCTACTTACTACCTTTCCAAACTCTCTCCTTCCTTTCTCTCAATTCCTCACTTCATTACCACCTACTTAATACTATGTGATATTGCCCCGTCCTGGGTTCTGGCCTTTCATTTTAATTCCGTTGCTCCTACCCCCTTTAGTGCCTTCATTCCATCGGACAAGGCACGTTCAACATTCACCGGATCTGCAGTGGTTGCTATCCTACCGCAATCTTCCCTCAACTTTTGTGATATTAACTGCCTCCCCGTCGAACATCGACCTATCCTGTGCTCCCAACTTTACTCTGGACAGGCCTTTCTTCTTTCACTTGGCGGTTTCTTGTTGCAGATACTGGCTGGTGTATTGAATTGCGACTTCTACTACACAGAACTTGAGTGGTGATAATCGATTTGTACACAAGTTGCGCCTTCACAGTGATCGAACCCAATGGGAATACAGTGACAACTTTATCGATCCTACAATTAGATCTCTCTTTTGGAAGGATATCTACCGGAATTCTTTGACATCCTGCCATATGTCTCTCCCGGTCCTCACCTCGCAACCATTTCCTTCTGCCCCTCACCCGATCACCCCCACCATCCCTCTCTACTCGCGGACAGAAGGTTCGACCTGTGCACGAAAGCCGTATCGACAGGAGGTCCCTGATCGGAACTGGACCGCGCCTCTGAGGGACGGTCTGCCAACGCCTCCCAGCGACATGAACGGGGTAGCTTCTTACAACAACATCCCCTCGACCAACTATGGAATCACACTTCCCCCATACGCAAAACAACCCGCATACCCCCGTATGAACTCTTCGAATTCTATGATATCTTCAGCCTCGGCAGCTCAGCCCAAGAGCCAGCCTTCGATCCACGATGCCCCGGCTTCCGAGCCTAACAACCAGAAAAAGGGATCGAGCTCGGTGGCTTCCTATCTGAAGGTTCCACCCTCCATCAGCAACAGCAAAGGAAGTCTGACCGAATTTGCGGCTCAGGTAAGAGGATTCCCTCTACGATATTATGCGGGCAGGGATTCTTAACATATCAAACAGATGACTTGTCTTTTCTGGTTTGAAAGCACGGCTAAGTTGAGGGCCATTGAAGAGCGCTTGAACCCGGTCTATTCTCTCGTTCCCGAAGCAACCCCTTCCGCTGGTTTCCAGAAATGGGTGACGAACATCCTCTCCACGACGCAAGTGAGCCAAAATGTCATCTTGCTGGCTTTGCTTTTCATCTATCGCCTGAAGAAGTTCAACTCTGGCGTGCGAGGAAAGAAGGGCAGTGAATACCGGCTGATGACCATTGCGCTTATGCTGGGCAACAAATGTTAGTTTTCGAAGTATCTCTCCAAATGGTACCCAGGAACGATGAGCTGACCGGTTGACAGTTCTGGACGACAACACTTACACGAACAAGACCTGGGCTGAAGTATCTGGAATTTCCGTGCAAGAAATTCACATCATGGAAGTTGAATTCCTTAGCAACGTCCGATACAACCTTTTTGTCTCCGAGAAGGAATGGAGTCAGTGGCACGCTAAGCTTGGTCTATTCGCCGACTTTTTCCACAACGCACCTTTGGTCCCCGAGAAGAACGAACTGGGACCTACACCTCCAGTTCTTCACATCTCCCCCAACTTGGGCCCGTCGCCTCAGAAACAGCCTTCACCTTGCTCGAAATTGCCATCCCCGCCTGCCCTGGACTCTCTGCGTGCTCCGAACTGGAATATGCCAACCAACACCCCGACGTACACCAATGGACCCCAGCTCAGCAGCCATATCCCTCCGCCGATTTCACGGAAACGAACCCGCGAGGACCCCGTCGAAGAGACTCCATCAAAGAAGATGGCAATGCCAAACGCCAACCCTGCGTCTTCATCGGCACTTCTGCCGTCGTCCGCCTTGACTGGAATGTCGACGTTGCCCCCGGTGATGACGCCAACTTCCGCTCCCACCGCAGGCTCGTCGACTGGAGCCGTTTCTCGCCTTCCTCGTCCTAACTTCCCCCCTTTCTCTCATTCCTTCAACCCAAGCGTGCCCACCTCCATGCCTCAGGTCCCTTCGACCACCGGACGAGCGATGCCACCGATCTACAACACAACCACCAACTGGGTTCCGCAGGTGGCCCCTTCAACCGGAGTCCCTCCTGTCACTAGTGGCATGTACAACTCGTCACTGGCTCTCCCCGACCCTGCAAGACAACACAACAGTCCGTTTGGCGTCTCTTCCGCCGGCGTCTCGCCAGCAGTGTCCGCCTATTCGGTTCACACGCCCCAGACCAACTTGTCCCCATCCTTCTTCTTGGCAAACCGTAACTCTCCGTACCGGCCTGTTCGAAATGTCAACACTCTCCTGATCCCGCCACCGTCGACCTCTCTTCAGCAGCAGCGCAATATTCCATTTGAGCACATGCACTACCAACCCCTCGGCAAAACAGCGGCGGAGCGCAAGACGGGCCTATTGCCATATCTTCACCAGGACGCTTGGCCTCAGGGACCGTTCTTCCCTCCTACCTTCCACTCGAACCCCAACTACTCGACTTAAGAAAGTTGACAACATTTCCAATTCTTACGATCTTGTCTTATGACCGTCCACACGAGCTCGATGCCCATTGATATTTTCTTCAACCTACTGTTTTACCACCATTGTATTATGTACATTTCTTCCCCTTTCTTTTTTATTATTCAACCATTCTACGACATGGCATTCATATGGCGTTTGTTATCATAGACGTGTTCACCCGAAGGACTACTGTTATCTTTCCGGACATTGGGTGGGAATTTCCTGAGACTCGCTCTTTGTGGAGCATAGCTAAGGCGTTGTTTTCTGTTTTCATATATACTTCTGTCCATCTTATACTTGCATTGGCATGTTTAGGTGTTAAATGCCGCTTTCAGGAGCATGGATGGCACTGGCATAAACAATGAGATTTGCATGACCTGATGGTCTGCGCTAGATGACGTTTCTGATAAACAATAATTATTGTGTAAGAGTAGCACTTCAAATTGTCATGATGAGGTAGATGACTTGTCTAAGCACACAAGTCACAGGTTTGTTCAATTTGCAACCACCGCAAACAGCGCAAACATTCTGCCGGATCATAGAGCGGTGAGACATTCCTGTGGCACGCCTCAGGCATAAAAACTGCTCAACCGGCCCGACGTTCCTCCGCCCGAGCATCCAGCGCCAAACAACCCGAAAAGATCCTGTCCCCGTAACTCGAGCCAGTCCAGCGCCGTCCGTCGTCTCCCCGAACCCTTCCACGCAGGACTCGCCCACCAACATGCCTCCCAGGCCTCAGATCCTGTCTTTGCTGCAATGGCAGGGGGCAGCGGTCCTTTCGAAGCCCACCGCCGCGGCGGCCTCTCCGCTGTCGTTCCTCCTCCCTCAATTCCAGCAGCAACAAAGCCGCAACGCTCACATCCTGGCCTCGCTCTCCGATAACCCGAGCGCCTATAACAAGAGGATTAGAAGAGGTCGCGGTCCCGCCTCCGGTAAGGGTAAGACCTCCGGACGCGGTCACAAGGGTCAGAAGCAGCATGGTAAAGTGCCCACGGGGTTTGCGGGTGGTCAGACGCCCGAGATCGTGGTGCATGGTGAACGGGGGTTTAATAATGTGTATGTTTTTTTATCCGCGGGGTTTTCTTGTTTAAAATGGGTCAATTGGATTGGATTGGATTTGGTGGTCTGAATGGAGCGAAGAGACCACAAAAAGACAAGCAAAAGACAAGCCAATTTCTGGAAAAACCACCTTTTGCTGATAGTGATTTTTTTATGACAACAGCCACTCCCTCGACCTCGCAACCGTCAACCTCGAGCGTATCCAGCAATGGATCGACCAAGGCCGAATTGATCCCGCGCGGCCCATCACGATCCGCGAACTGGCTCAATCGCGCTGTATCCACCAGCCCAAGGAAGGCGTGAAAGTGCTGAGCAGCGGCACCATCACCCCCGAGACTGAGACCGAGACCACCTCCGCCACCAGCACCACCACCACTGCTACCAATACCCCGAACCCGACTGAATCCTCGCCCTCCACCTCCACCCCCGTCCTCAAACAACCCATCCACCTCGTCGTCTCGCGCGCCTCGGCGTCCGCCATCTCCGCCGTCGAAGCCGCCGGCGGCTCCGTGACGGCCCGGTTCTACACGCGGACCGCCATCGCCCGCATCATGCGCCGCGAGATGCACCCGTTCGTCTCGATGGCGTGGACCGCCGAGTCCGGCGCCGAAGGCCTCAACCTGGCCGAGGGCCTCGAGGCCAAGGACAAGCTCACCGAGTCGAAGATCATGAAGGAGATGGGCTTCCGCTACCGACTGCCCGACCCCACCAAGCGTCGCGATATCGAGTATTACCGTGACCCTGCGCACCGGGGATATCTAAGCCATCTGCTCAAGCCGATGGAGGGACCCAGTTTGTTCTTCCGGTCGCCGGCAGAGCGGAAGTCTTCGGCGGGTGTCAAGAAGGAGAAGGTCTTGCCTCCGAATCGGGTTTGGTAAGAGGGAACGTGAGAGTGTGTCTTTTTGCATTCTCGTCTGCCTTCCAACGACTACTCGTCCTTCTTCATGGTCTGATGAGGACGTTGATCTTGCTGTGGGAAAGAACTACATGTATAAATATTGTTTTGTTTAGGTTTCTAGTACATGAATGAGTGATTTTCGCGATATCAGATTATCCTTCTTTCTATCTTCTGTCCTCTTGAATGGTATATATCGTTGGTGCTACGGTAAGACTTCTAATTTTTGCTACGTACGTTCTTTCTAGAAACCCAGAGGGAATCAGTAGCTTCGTATACTAGAAAATGAATGGAACCCGAGAGTTGCTGATGGAAACTGTAAGACTCGCAAGGAAGTACGTAGAGGTGAGAAATATAGCATGAGTCGTCTTCGTAGCTAGATACCTAGAGTCGGGCTCAAATAGGTTTGGGGAGCATTGATAGATAGATAGATAGATAAATAGATTGACGGTTTGGTATAGTATGAGCGTATTCGCTCATATAGCCCCTGAGGGCTTAGAAGTATATAGATACATGTGGTTATGAGAAAAGAACAGTAACAAAACACCCCAAAAAAACCCAAACTAAACGCCACGCTGTAGTAATAGTCGTATAAACTAGGTCGTCTCACGCGAATTCGCTCGTTATCCTTGCAAAACAAACCATTGAAAATCCCGAAATAGAAAATGAAACGCCCAAATCTTTATCAAATCCCATCCCCATAGTCATAATAAGTAATGGAAGACCAGTGATAGAGAAAGGAAAAACAAAGACAAAAGAAAGGGTATCATAGATGACCAATAATCCCGAACACCGAGCGCTGATCCATATCGTGATAGTAATAGCGCCAGTCGTGATCACCGTTGGACCAGATTTTGGGTCTCAAAAATTCATCCGAAAAAAGGTAGTTATGCCGTCACTCAACATAACGACGAACCAGAAAGAAAAAGAAAAGAAAAGAGAAGCATTTTAGTGTGAAGCCACTTATAACTTCCAGGCCGATTCGGCCGCGGCATCGTACATAGGATCCGCAAAGTCTCGCATCCAGCGTGAACACAGGATATCTCGAACGGTCCAACGCTTTTCGACATCCATTTCTAAGCAGCCGGTGATCAATTCAAGGGCGGCTTCTCTATCTTGAAGACTTTGAGGGTCCTTTTCGACATCCAACACACTCTCTTTATCCCAAGTGCCGTTGATGATGCGTGTTTGAACTCGAGGCATGAAAGGATCTTGGAAAGGCCGGGAGCCGACGATGGTAGCGTAAACGATCACGCCGAATGCCCAGATATCTACTGAGGGATCCATGACACCATCAGTGGAGAGAAGCAACTCGGGAGAAGCATATTCCAAGCTACCAGCAACGCTGGTGCTGGAGCCAGCAGGACCTATTGATTTGGGAGGTGGTCGGTCTGCCACGTTGTCGTAAGGATCGGGAGATTCGCCCCCGTTGTCCGTTGTCATCCACTCTGACATTCCAAAATCACAAAGAACGAGGTTAGATGCCTTTGTGCCATCTGGCAGCTCGATAGGGTCCAATAGGCAATTCTCGAGCTTGATATCTCGATGAACCACACGAGCGTCCTCATGCAAATACCGAAGGGCACATGCAAGCTGATAGGTATACTTCTTTGCGAGGTTCAAGTTCAGACCTTGGCGGTTCTGACGAACGAGATCAAAAAGTGTGCCGCCAATAGCCAGCTTGGTAAAGCAAAAGGTAGCATAGTCGGTTTCATAGACGGCGTCCAGAGTGAGGACGTTTGGGTGGCTAAGATATCGCCATACTCGAACTTCGTGGTCGAACTCTGCTTGTACTTCGTCGTTTTCCTTCTCGGATTTGCCAGAGATCTGTTTTCGCACAACTTTCACAGCCAAATGCTTAGTTCCGCCACTCTCATCGACTTTGAAAGCCTCCTTCACGGTGCTAAATCCTCCAAAGCCAATCTGCTTTCCGAGGACGTAGTCGGTTCCGACCATCTGACCCTCGTCATCTGGTTGAGGTGCGGGCTCTTCGGCATTTCCCCACATGGAAAGAAACATGCTGGCCGGGGATTTGCCGCTGGAGGCAGTAGAACGGCGAGAGCTATGGCGAGCACGGGGTCCCCTGACCTTGCTTCCAAAGGGGGTTATGGCACTGCCTGACCAGGAGTTGCGATCATCCGGGGACGTAAACGCCTGCATGGGCGATGTCATGCATATGGGCGATGGCAATGCCCCTCGCGAGCCTTCGGGAGGAGTACGCAATTCTTCGGTTACGGGTGACGCAGTCGAAACGGACGTTAAGGAGGTCGGATGATCAATCTCTGAGGTCATACGTAGGTCGTCCTCAGGGCTGGTGGGTAGACTGTCTCGAGCACCAAAGCCCCGCTGAGTCTGGTACCGTCGAAGAGAAGCATTGATTCCCATGGGCCTGGGACCGTGGATTTCATGATCGTCGGGAGATAGTGCGTTTTTCAGGCTCGAGCCCTTGGCCTGAAATCGTTGAGCACGAGTCCTTGAATCTGACCTTGCCAGGGGCTCCTCTAGCGCCCGCGGCCGGCCAGAATCAAGAGTAACGGTAGGGTCAAAACTGACCGAGGGGCGGCGATTTTGGATGAAACTGTCAAGAGGTGACGCGGGGATTGAGTCGGGTTTATGTGGAAAGTCAACATCATCTTCCTCCTCCAGACGGTCCACATCTTGTCGGGGTACCGAGATGGGGGGTGTCGCTGAATGCAAACCCTTCATTTCACTGTTGTCTTCATCAGTACCGCAACGGGGTGCGTGGTAATCGTGAAAGATGCTTGTACGGTCGCCCTCGATGCCATCTCTATCGCCCGACGCTCTCCTGCCTCCATTTTCGTTTAACCATCGATGTCGATTCTCAAACGACGTCTCAATCTTCAAGCCTGCCAACGCGCTGTTCCTCTCTGGACGAGCCATGCCCTCACAAAGAGCACACAGAGTACCTCTCAGTGAAAGGTGGCAAGGAGAAGTTTACGATCTCAATGTGAGGTCGCCAAGCTGACGCATAAACATGGATGAAGATGGATGAAGCGGGGGTTGAAGGGGGGGGTGGTATGATGAGGTGGATGGGTGATGGCGGCAATGGTGGTTGTTAGAGGGTGGAGGTGAGTGGTGGTAGGAGTGATGAGAGAGGGCCGTTTGACGGCCGTAAGAAGCGGACAGAGGTCAAAGATGAAGATAAAGGTCAAGAGAACAAAATTATTTAGGGTGACCGTTGGGTGGAAGCAAAAAGAGTTTGGTTCACGGTGGATCAGAGCGATGTGGGTAGAGGAAAGAAAAGAAAAATTGCCAGAGGAAGTCAGGAAATGAGCAGAGAAGGGCATATCGGGAGAATCCGGAGGCAGTGAAAGGGAAAGGATCGGAAGGGCAGCGGGCGGGGAAGAGCAGATCGGCGTCACGACTGACTAATGGGCAATTAGGCACATGCAGAATGGAGTCACCATGATGCCCCTTGTCCCTTCCGGTATAGCGCGGCGGCGAATGACGGAGCCGACCCACATTATCACCTGATCAGCGGGCCCTCAACCCTCTACCCTGAGCCCTAATTGCTTAGACAAGTGACGCTAGTCCTGGGTGGGGTTAGTGGCACCAGGGACAGTTACCCGCCGGCTCAGGCACGAGACGTTTTAGGAATGGCCTGCACAGACGCGCGCAAGGGGCGCTTGTTTTGGAGTCTCTCTGGAGACCTCCTTTTTTTGGATGTCTCAGAAGTCTGGGGAACTCGTTCTCGCTGTGTTATGGTCGTCGAGCTCTACCCTTCTCCTTTCCGCTTTGGACTCTTTGTTTTTCTTTCCCTTCTTGTTCTGTGAAATTGCTCTGGCAGTATTTCTCCTTCGCCTGGTGGCCTTGCCCTGGCCAACCCACCTATCTTTTTTCTCCCCTAACACGGTCGCCCCCCCCGCCGTCGCCGCTCGTGGCCTTCCCTTCCTTTGTCTGGTGTCTCCGTACCAATCGCGCTTGAGAGCTCGCGACATTCCGCTCGTTTTATTTTCTCTGACGTCGCCTATTTGCCCCCTGTACGATCTGATCATCTGTCGCGGAATTCCACGCCGTTTTGAACAGTCCGACCGGAGCCGATAATTCGTGACCTTCAACATGACTCGGCCCGGGATTGTACGAGCCGGTATGTATACGCTTGGAGGATTGAGATGAGTTTCCTGACGCTAATGTGCCTCCGATAGATACCCTTGACCTCCAAGACCAAAACGCTCCCTCGGCGAAAGACCATTCCAAACACCCCGACACCACCCAGGCCGGCCTAGCTCCCCACCAGGAGAAAACCCTTCGTCATGCCGACCATGATGCGCAATCAGAGATGAAGCACGGTCCTGGCGCCGATGCAAGACCGGTTGACGACCACGCCGACGGCATCGACATATACGACGACGACGACGACGATGACGACGACGATCTAGACGGACATCGGGGTGATATGGAAGATGATTTAGCGGATGGGGAGAGCGATGATCTAATGGATGATGATATGATGGACAAGATTTCAAGCTCCCCGTCAATCGACGATGGTGCGTTACATTTATTTGGCCCTGCTCTTTAGGCTCTGGGTTCTCGACTCCGTGCTTGCCTAGCGACATGAGATGATTTGCGGTGATTTATCGCGAGCTCCTGAACAGCCAAGGCTAATCTATCGCAGAGGATATCAACTTCGAGTTCGTTTATGCGCTCCATAATTTCGTCGCAACGGTGGATGGTCAAGCCAACGCGGCAAAGGGGGACACAATGGTTCTACTGGATGACAGTAACAGCTACTGGTGGCTGGTCCGAATCGTTAAAGATGGCAGCATTGGTAAGAGGGACTCTTTTGATCAAAAGCAAATTGAAGTCACTGACAACCAAAAGGATATCTACCTGCCGAGCATATCGAAACCCCAACCGAACGACTCGCCAGACTAAATAAGCATCGAAACGTCGATGTATGTCTCTTTCTTCCTCTTTTATCAAATCCACAGGTCTAATTTGAACAGCTTTCCGCGACGATGCTAGGGGATAACTCGGAGAAGTCGAAAAATCCGCTTAAAAAAGCCATGCGCCGCAGAAATGCTAAGACTGTTACCTTCACGAGCCCGACCTATATTGAAGCATCAGATATTGAATTCTCCACCGACGACGAATTGGACGATGGTGAATCATTCAATGATGAGGATATGGCGCGTGAGGACGCGGACGAATTACAAGACGGTCACACCGAAGACATTGTGGTTGAGCCTCTTAGGACCAAGTCGCAACGGGACAAGGAATCGGACGACGCCGAAGATGACCATGAGACACAAGATTCTGAACGAGTCAGCCCGGAGAAGCAACGCTCTAGTCAGGAGTTACTTGATGTTGAAAGTAAGGGTCTTTTTTTATTTTTTATCTTTTGCTGCGCTTTGCGAAATATCTAACCGCTTTTAGATGACAATGTCAGTCGATCAAGGAACGGAACCGTACGGAATACCGACTCATTCTTCAAAGACGACTCCGTCGAGACAAAGAAAATATCGCTTACCCCCAATCTCCTTCGCGACGAGGTCAACAACAATGCTGGATCGCCGACCGAAGCCAAGGAGGTAAGAACAGCCTGTGTCTCAGTGAACTGGGGACCTCGTGTACTAATGCTTGTCTTCAAAGAGCCGTGGCAGTATGGAAGCCATCGACAAAGCGCTCAGCGCATACGACAAACAAGGCAAAGACGACAAGAAACGCAAAGACAAGAAGGGCGGAATGCTTAGCGGTCTATTCAAACGAAAAGACAAAAAGACCAGGACAGGCGAAGATGACGGTGAAGAGGCCGAAAAGACCTCTAGTGAGCTGTCTCGAACATCGCCCCAGCCGAAGACATCCTCGGAGTCTGTATCCTCGCCAGAATCCCGGGCTCCCAAATCTTTGGTCGTCCAAAGACAGTCGAGTAAGCTCCAGAAACAACCACCAGCGGTTACTTCGCCCACAAAGCAGAATTCACCACAAGATTCGGTGGCGCAAGAGCCCGTTGAAAGCGTAAAAGGAGGATCGCTCATGGAAAAACCTAAAGCAGATCAAACAATTCGACAAGTCGCGCCCGAAGACGACTCCCCACAATCTCCCGTCTCGAAGCCTTTTCGACCAGACGTTCGCAGCCTTTCTTCACCTATCGGCTCGTCCAGTCTTATCAAGAGGCCTAGTCCTACTCAAACTAGTACGAACGATGTCGTGGAATCACCAATTGAGCCCTATGGAGGGCGACAAGAGGTGACACGTTCCGTGGCCTCTCCGCCGCAGAGATTCCCACCCACTCAGAGTATGGGTTATCGAGACCAGCGAATGGAATCTCCCGTGGCTGTCTCTCCATTGGATGCCCAAGCTTCGCCTCACGCCCCCGGGTTGACGACGGATCTTTCTTCTCCTGGTGGACATTCTTTCTCCCCAGTATCCCCGCCTTTATCACCCACCTCCAACCTCCGCAGTAGTAAATCGATCGATGCACCTTCGTCCCCAGCTTTTGAAACGATGTCTGTCGGCACCCCAACCTGGAGTGACGCCAGTTTGCGCTCATACTTGGATGACGACAACGATATCCGCGATCTGTTCTACATTGTCCATGATAACACGAATGTTCCCCCTGCCGGCCCCGACCACCCCATAACCGGTAGTCTTTTCAAAGACGAGAGCAAGAGACTGAAGGAAATGAGTGCCCAGTTGGATTCGCTGCTGTCTGAATGGGTGGGTCGGAGAGGACAAATCCCGGTTAGCAAGTGAAAACGGCGCCTCTTGGGGGTCTAATTCCTTCGGTATATAGCAGGCTCTTCCCCTTCGACATCGTACAATAGCGGTTGGAATTGACTCGGAATCTTTATATTGGCCAGGAGCTAACGATGTGCTGGACGCATGACATTGGATGGACCAAAGGGTGAACCCTTTTGCCTCTTTTCCTCTGTGCTTATGATTTTCATACATACACCATTTGTTTCGTTCGCTTTTCTTGCCTGCATTTTTTTTTTCTTTACTTTTTCTTTTCTTTTATTGTGCCCGAGTTGCAACCGCAGTTCTCAAGCCTTGCACATTCTTTATGCAAGTCGAAACTGTCTTGGTCGGCTCCTGACAGCCTTGAGGTTTCAGGTCTCGCGCAACGGTTCGCTCGAAGGCATTGCGAACAGTCTCTGTTCTCTTATGTCAGTTCATATCTCCCGGTCAGATATACACCTCCTGTATACCCCCCTTGTCACATATACTTGCAGTCGTGTTCATTATTTTTTCTTCTCTTTCTCACTCTTCATTTGGATTGTTTTCTTTCTTCGTTTCATGGAGACATGTTAAATTCGTGTGAATGTGATCTGTTTCTCACATAGTATTTTAACCAGAAAGAAATACACAGGAATCCATGATTCAATAAATCCGTGCCAATTCCAGTCTGATGTAATCGAGGGGTTGTCGTGCGGGCTGGTCAGCTGCTTCCCCCCTGGCAAGTCATGCACCGAGTCATTAGACAAGACGATCCCGACTATATAACCCACACCCTTCTCTTCACCTCCCATCCACACATCCTCACCCCCTCTTTCACCCTCACCATGTCCGACCCATATCTCCAACAGCCTCCATACCCGGGAGCTCCAGCCCCAGCAGCTCCCGGTGGCGGGAACGCCGCATACTATGCGCCCCCGGACAGCGTCTACCAGAACCCGCCGTACGACTACGATCCCCACCAGCAGCCCTACGCGCAGCAGGAGGGCCCACCCTACGACTACAATAACCATCACCAGTACGGCTCGCAGTACGATCTGTCGCAGAACAGCGCCGTCCCCAGATCCTATCCTCCGCCTGTCCTCCCGCCTCCCCCGATGCCCCAGCCAACGGAGTATCTGAGCCCCGTGTCAGCAGAGTATCCGCCGCCGCCGGGTAGTCTTCATCGAACGGGAAGTAATGCGGATTATTAGTACGTTTTCATCTTGTCTTTCTTTTCCTTCTTTTTCTGTCTTTTATTGTCACTACCATTTAGTGCTGGATTCGACTCCCCTTGCCCAATTCATTCACTAGGTACTTATCCAACTAACTCCAAAACACAAAAAGCGACCAGCACCCTTCCGATCCCAACTTAACCAACCAAGAGCACAACGGCAACAACAAGCCCGAAGACGCAGACCGAAGCGCCGCCCCCGACGGGGCCGACGAAAGCGAACGTAACCTCAGCGGCGCATTACTCGGTGGCGCGACGGGCTACTACCTCGGCCATAAGAAGAGCCATGGGTTCTTAGGCGCCGTGGGCGGGGCCTTGTTAGGCAATTATCTTGGCGATAAGATGAGTGAAAGTGGTGGTGGAGAGGGTGATGATGACGATGCGCGCTCATCGCAGCATTCTGATGGTCGGCGCAGGAGGAGAAGACATCGTCATTCTCATTCGCATGGCAGTCATAGCCACAGCCATAGTAGCCATGGACATCATCATCACCACCATCACCATCATCATGATGGACACCATGGACATCAGCGACATCGGAGTCGGTCGAGACATAGTAGTCATAGTCATGGGGGGAGTGATGCGTGGTAAGGGATGTTGGGATCGGGTTGGGTTGACAGTTACAAGGGTGGACACTAATTTGAATGATGGTGGAAGGGTTATGATGACGACTTTATGACTGACTTATTTTCACATTTATGATTCTACGATTTAGATGGCCTCTGATTTTTTGATCTTGTTGTTGGTTTCGGGAGTTTTTTGTGACTTTCGGGCTCACTGTTAATATGCTTCGTTTACATGATGACATCCATTTGCACTTTGTTTAATACTACATATCCAGATTGCTGCTTTCTTTCCCTACGCTTACTTGAGATAGCGTCTGTTCCAACTCAGCCGTGGGACACTCAGGCAAAGCCGAGTAAAGTAGCAGTCCAAGGGAATAACAAATCAAACACCAAATCTGAAATATTCAAAGGTTTATTTTGAGCCTTCCAGATGAAGATTGGTTGGTAAATCATGTATCTGATTCTGTTCCTATCTAATGTAAATTCCAAAATAGTAGTTGGACAGTATATTCGCCCTTCAGTCACGGCTGAAAATACACGGGTTCTTTACTCCTTCAACATATCCTCCAACGCCTCAGCAGGAGTACGCTTGGGCGCAGCGAGCGCCAGTACTTCCTCACTAGTAGTAGAAACGGAGCACTTTCCCTCCCAGCACGTCTCCAAAGCATTTTTGATAGAGGACACAACGTTCCTAGACTCATTGGTTCCCGCGAGCCGGAGGTCCACGTGCGACTGGATTAGCGATATGTCCTTGAAGCTAACATCCTCGACCCGTGTTCCGATGTGCTGCTCAACCAAGTCCACAATTTGAGCCCCGGTGAGATCTTTCGGTCCATTCAGCACATATCGGGCCTTGTTGTGTGCAACAGTATCATCCTGAGCTAGGAGATGAGCCGCAAAGATACCGACTTCCGCGGGATCAATGATGCCAATGGGCGCATCTTCGGTGGCCAACAACCTCAAGGTGCTCTGCTTTCTGGTCTTGCGGAAGTTTTTGATCATCTCGGCCGCGGAATAGAGCCAGAGTTGGGAAAAGACGTTCGGCTGAAGGGAGGTCCACTGCAAGGCGCTGAATTCCGGTGAGTCTAGAAGAGCCTCGATGGCCCAGTGGGAACGGGGATAGTAGGCATTACAGTCCGGACGGACGTTCGCGGCGGTGGTCGAGATGCGTATAACGTACTTGACGCCAGCTTTGAGGGCGGCATGGTGGAATGTGGATTCTTCTGCGAACTGGTTCGGTTTGTGGTGTGGTGCGATGAATGCTCTGGTGACGTTGTGCTCGCGCAGCCAGTCGGCGGTGATTTCAACCCAGTTTTGCTCGATCACCTCCACTCCGGGCAATTTGGTGAATTCGCGCGCTACTGGACCATCTAGAGAACGGGTAAGAGCAATGACCCGGTGGTCAGATAAAGTACTGCTGGATTCTAGCAGTTTTGGCAGTGTTTCCACCACGCTTCGGCCGGTGTTGCCGGTTGCGCCGGCGATGAGGATGGTGGGAGCCATGACTGAATTGGAGAGGCAAGAATGCTGTTCTAGCAAGAAATTGTATGGTAAGATGATCAACTATCTAGAGGTCGTAGAAGGCCCTTTTATCTTCAATATTCACGTGATATTCATGGCCGATTCATGGAGTATTCCGCTTCGATAGAGATCTTCGGGCATCTAGATCTTCTGCGAAGACCATTGGTAAAGCCGTCGGATATCCCAGATGTCGCAATCCTACTCCATACTTGTGAACTAATCAAAATTCATAAGCCGTGATCGATAGTAATCTAATCCCATTCATACTTCCATTTTACTCACCATCGGACCCTCCCACCGGACCCTCCCGCCGTAGTCTCCCACCGCTGCCACTCCGCCACCCACACCACTGGGCAGTAAGTAGTTCATGTTGATGCGAGGTATGGATACCAGAAGTCGCCGTATGATATCGCCTGAGACATTCGATTGTTCCTTTCCGGGCTGCAACGCAAGTTATCGACGCAAGGAACATCTACTATGTCATCGAATGCAACACAATCAGCCCCAGTCTTTCGAATGTTCAGTCTGCAATCGGACCTTTGGGTGTAAGTAATTGTTGACTACTCCTAGTTGCGTCTAAACAGTATTTCTAACGTTGACTTTCCTGCATTAAGTGATACCCTTCGCCGACACATGCGGCGGGCTCATGCGGTCGACGAACTGCCTTCTCAGATAAAACGTTCCTGTTCACAATGCCGAAGCCTGAAGTCTCGTCGTGAAGGTGGGCCGCCATGTCGCGAATGCATTCGCCGTAAAATGCTCTGTTCCTTCGACAGCCCAAGGTGTACGAATCACCAAGAATCGCGCCGTCACTTGGCTGACAGAGTACTGGAGCCGTCGCACGCCGCATTTGCCCGGCCTGAGAGGAGAGATCGACACTTCGTCGATCTCTATTTTGAACGATTCTACCCCTACTGGCCATTCGTTCATCGCGTATCATTCAATGTATCTCGTGAAACGCCTTTACTCACGCAGTCAATGATGGACATCGGCCTGTGGGCGAGCGGAGAGCAGAGCGCGCAGCGCGCCACACTCGATCTCCACAGGACGTTGGACTTGGCCAATCATCAACAAAGAGTAAGTGGGTATTACTCATGCCAACTGAAGTCCGCCTCCACTAACAGCCAAGTCTGTAGGAAGTATGGGATGCTTCTATTGCAGAAGACGCCGGCAGCACATGTTCCTGGCCAATCGCGACGTACCAGGCGATCCTATTGCACGTTATGTTCGCTATAATGCGTCAGGGCGGTTCCTCCGTGGGGTTTGACTTGAAGCTTGCACTTCCCCCTGCTGATAGCCAACTCCTAGATTCCCTTGTAGGGAGTTGCAAGCAACTAGGCATGTTCTACTATCCAAACATCGTTGCCCAGCATCTTCCAGTGTCGGTGACTGAAATTGCCTGGGTTGGTATCGAAGAGGTAAAACGATTCAACCTGACCCTTTACAAAGTCCACAAGATGTTGAGCAGGTGGGAACCAGGAGCTGGCCTTGCAGAAGGCGACACTGTGCCCGAAGCATCAGGCAGAGGCCTCGCTGCGATCGATCTACAGTTCCCAATGCCCACGAATAACCGGTTATGGAACGCCGCGAACAAGAATGGATGTCTGCGCCCAAATATGTGGGCCATTTCACGTTGGAAGACGCCAAGGAAGACGAATGGATCTCCAACTCGGCAGAACTTGTTGCACTATTGGCCTAGTACATAGAATCATGCCGAATTGCAGAAAATATGCCAGAATTTGGGCAGGGACCAGGTAGCTCAAATCCACCGGACTGCTGCTTATGAGATTTGATCATGGTAGAAAATCAGCCAACCATGGCGTTAAGTGCCTCACGACTGTCAAGGCAAACTGGTTTTCTATCGAGCATGGACTGGGCCGGTGGGATACATCCTGGTTGTACTGTTATCGGGTGGTTGTAGTCGCAAACACGAACATACTATGACATCACGATGTATTAATAGTCATCATATCATGTTGTTGGATTTCAGAATTTTTTTTCTGGCAAACACGGCCTACTCTCTGAACCTGTTTGGCTCGCCCAAGTTAGGCGAAGGTCCAATAGCAACCATGCCACGAAGCCACAATCCCTATTATTTGCGTAACGACGCGTTCCTCGGAGATACCACTCTGGTATCACCGCCTCATGTAGGGAGCGAAAAAGGGGAATGCCTGGCAAAACCCCTTAGATGATTGGCTACCAATACTAAGCAGGAAAGTGGTATGTGATAGGTAGTAAGACATTCATCAGACTGGTTCCGCAACATGGACCAAGAAATTCTCAACACTGGACACATTCTAGGATGATGGGAGTGTAACTGTATTCACCGTTAAGAATTGAGGAACAGAACATGAAGCATCCAAGGAGTGATGCAGGTACGTTGAGGCTTGAGACTCAAGTCTTTTAGGTAGGACCCTAAGGCACGTGATCGATAGCGACGATCCGCCGGCAATCGGAGCGGGAACCCACCGAAGCCAATCAGGCGGCGCGGATAGGGAGGAACTGCTTATCAGCCCCAGATGACTTATCGGGCGATCCTGAGGATGGCACTCGTGACCCGAACCCATGGGGTGTGACTCCTTCCTCCCTCCCTCCCTCCGTCTCGCTCTCTTCTTACTAACTTGTTCCCTTTCTTATAGTCTTTGTATCTTCTTCCTTGTTCTGACTTTCTTTAGACTTTCTTCTCATCGTCTTCCTTCTTTGCCATTCTCTAGAGAGTTGCCTTCGCCGTTGTATAGAGTGGACTTCCGTCTAAGTATCACCAGTCAGCCGCTCTTCGACGTGTTCGTTCTGCTTTCTATAACTTGATAATTAACTATACCCTCCGCTTGCCTCCTATTGAAGACGACCATTCAGACAATATCCCGAGAAAGATGCCTCCTCCTTTGTTAGACCAGATCGTTCAGACCGCTCTTCCGCAACATTGTGAACCGTCATCGCCATTGCTGGCCGCCCTTTCTTCGCACCTGCATATCTGCATTCCGACGCCCTTGGCGCTCATATCGTCGATCCTAGGGACATTGAGTATTGTCTCGTGGCTATTTGCCCAGCTGCCTCAGATCTACAAGAACTTCCAATTGCAATCAACGTCAGGCCTGTCTTTGTTCTTCCTCGTTGAATGGTGCCTCGGTGACGCCAGCAACCTCGTGGGCGCCTTGCTTACCCGCCAAGCGGGCTGGCAAGTCATCGTTGCTGGATACTACGTGCTGGTCGACGTGACTCTGGTGTTCCAGTACTTTTGGTATACACACTATAAACGGCGGGGGGATGATTATGGCGAGCTGTCATATTCACATCATGATGACGGATCTGGCAGTGTCTTAGACGGGGTCTCCTTCTCCGAGGACTACTCGAGCGCTGGTGCACGTCTCTCAGCAGCAGCCCGCCCGACAGACATTAAAGATGCGAAGGATCTGAAGGCATCTGGGCTGACGGGCGGCCAGTCGCCTTCCTATTCCAACGAGAAAATGAGCTCTTCCCGTCGATCGGTTACTCGCACTGGTAGTGGCCGCAGCCTCCCAACGAGCTCCACTCGCACAGTCTTACTGGCATCTATGCTGTGTGCCGTGCTAGCAAATGCAGCTCCGACGGAACCGGAAACCGGCTCGACATCCAATCGGATTGACCTTGAATTCATCGGCCGCATCATTTCGTGGATGTCGACGGTCCTTTATCTCGGTTCCCGGCCGCCCCAACTATACAAGAACTACTGCCGGAAGAGCACATCCGGCCTGTCTCCTCTCCTCTTCATGGCTGCATTTGGCGGCAACTTCTTCTACTCCGCTTCTCTCCTAACCAACCCGAACGCCTGGTATGACTTTCCTGCCTATGGCGGTGGCGGATGGGCGGACGCCGACGGCAACGATCGCCTCGAGTGGGTAGGCCGTGCCATCCCCTTCTTCCTTGGAGCGTTCGGGGTCCTTGGTCTTGACGGATTCATGGGAGTACAATTCCTCATATACGGCTCCAATGATGGAGAATCCATCATCGAAGTTGAGGATCCCAAGCGCGGCCGCAGTCACTGGACACGCGTCCGTGGATGGATGAGGGGCTGGATTCCCTCCGTCTCCCCCGAACGCGAGATCCATCATAGTAACAGCACTACTCACGAAAGACGAGCTCTTCTAGACGAAGATCGTGAAAGATACGGCACTGTTTAACCTGCTTTACATTATTCTTTTTTTTGTTTTTTTGCCTCTGCCCTTAGCAGAGAAATGACTATCTCATGACGTAATGACTCTCACCCACGGAGGTCTTGTTTGCCTCTGACGTTTTCGGTTTACTATACATATACTGTTCTCTTGTTCATTTACTGGTCTAATCGGTTTTGGTTATCACCACTTGCTTGGAAGAGGAGACGTCTCATCTAGAGATCGAGATCAAGCATTCTCAAGTCCACCAAGACAATTGGCAATTTGCATCAAGGTTTTCGTGTCTCGATACATACATACATAGTTCGGCGTTCGCTTCGGTGTCACACTGACTGTGACTTTCTGTCTTCAACCTTTGGAAATTTCTCATCTTCGTGTGCTTTTTTTTTTTTTTTTTTTCTCTTTCTTTCGCCTTGTTGCATGCCTACATAGCCCGTGCGGTTTCGGTTTTCGGGAAGACGGTTTCTTCTGGGGGGTCTCGTGTCGGTAGAATCAGGATCTTTTATTTATACTTATCTTATACATACGATAAAGATGGTTTCCTAATACACTGGAGAGAAATGTGTACGGATAATCTCATTCATATCTCCATTGCTGTATTCAACCGTCTGGCAGACAAATTAAAAATCTTGTTCATAATCTGATAAGCGATAAGCCTAACCTGATCAACGGATAAGGACACTGACTGGGCAGGGAAAGAAAAATCAAAGGTCAATATTAACAAATCATCTAAATTAATTATAAACGCTTGAATGCAACTCTGACAACCTTATGTGCCGTCAGATGTCAGGTCCCGTTCCATTTCCACACTTTCATCAGACTCATTCATTAGGATACAATATCAAAAAGAAACAGAAAGAAAAGAAGAAAAAAAGCAGCCCCGAGACTTTTGGTTTAAACAATAAGAGACTGGCTCTAATCGCAGCCCTCCAGCACTTGGTGGGGTAGAATAGCCAGCAGTATGTGTCTATAAAGTAACAGTGAAGGGCAGGGGCTGAATATGAAGAAGGGAAAGGATAAAGACGGAGCACGACTGAAATCTAGTGGTAGAACGCCAAGAGAGATCGGTGAGCTTCGGGATGAGAAAAAAAAAGCCAGCCAAGTTAAAAATCGCTCGAAAGGCATGTATTGCATGTTCAATGGTCCATGATTGCTTGAACTCTGGGTAACCCTCTCACGGCATCAGTAAAATGAAGTAAAACAGGTAGGAAGGGAAACCACAGAACAATCAGAAACTGATCGTCAAAAAGGTACATAAAATGGCGAAGATATGGAAGAATATGCGACGCGGCATGACCAGCATCAACCGAGTCCTTTGGGAAGTGATGTGAAAAGCGAATCTCCTTCCAAACACAGGTACAAGCAAGCACCAGATGGACTAGGCCCTAAAACAGTGGAACCTTGACATCCTGCACACCGCGCTTGATGACATCCTCGACTTGCCATCGGGGAGGGTGCACAGTCGCAATCTGTTGGCGATGCCATTCTTTCTCCATCTCTGGCGGCGGTGCCGAGCCCTCGCTGGAGGGCAGAGCGCCACCAGCGACGCCCGTTGAGAATTTCAGCTGCAGAACATTTCCGATTTCGTCACACGCCGTAAGAATGCGATCGAGATCCTCTTTAGTGTGTGCTGCCGAAACGCAGAAACGGGCTCGAGACGAGACCAAAGGCGTAGCAGGATAGCCCACCACGACAACAGAAATCTTCCGCTTCAACATCTCGTGGGAGAAAGCGGGCATCTTGGCAGGATTGAAAAGCAGGACCGGAATAATGGGAGAATCGTCGTGCCCGTAAACAATGAATCCGAGACGCTTCAATCCAAGACGAAGATACCGAGAGTTGAAAGCCAAGCGCTGTAACCGCTCCTCACCCTGACCTGGCACGATCTCCCCACTGATGAGGCGAAGTGCGGACGAGATCTGGGCCAGGACCGCAGGGGAGGGGGATTCGCCATACACAACTCCGGAGTTGGTTGAACGGAGAGTATCAATCATCGCCTTATCGGCTGCAATGTAGCCTCCGTTGGCGCCAAAGGATTTGGTGAGGGTACCCATGAGAATATCAACTTCACTGGTGTCAATGCCAAAATAGTCACAGACGCCACGTCCATTCGGTCCAATGGCTCCGATAGAGTGCGCCTCATCGACAAACAGGTTGAATTTGTAACGTCGCTTCAAGGCAATCAAACCAGGTAGATTGCACATGGACCCTTCCATGGAGTATAGACCCTCAACGACGACCAAGATATTCTTCCAGGGACGGTGAGTACGCGGCTGTCCTTGGCTGATGGCCTCCCGGAGCCTGTTCTCCAGGTCTTTCATGTCATTGTGCTTAAACATGCCGATGGATGCTCCGGAAAGACGCGCTCCAAAGCGGATAGATGCGTGGTTCAGCTCATCGGAAATGATGAGACAGCCCTTGCTCACCAAGGCAGGGAAGACATTGGCGTTGGTACCGAAACCCATGGAGAACACCATAGAAGCCTCTTTACCGACAAATCTAGCGATTAAATCCTCGAGCTCGTTGTGGAGATCCTGCGTTCCGGCTTCGGCACGGGTACTGGGTGCAACGATGCCATATTTCCTAACGGCCTCTTCGGCATCATCGGCACACGGGCCTTCCGACTGAGCAAATCCCAGATAATTGTACGAGCTGAGGTTAAGCGTGTCAGTGGTCGTTCCGGTGAAGTGGAAATTCCTGTTATGGTCATCGGTGGTGCGATCAATCAAGGTGATATATCTTCCGGGAACACCGGTGACCGGGCGCTCAAAGCAATCATTGATACGCAGCTTCAGTCGGCGAACGTAGAAGTTGTCGAAATCACTGTTCAGCGCAGCGTATCCATTCCGGGGCTTCAAGTGACGGTAGTTTTCTTCGCGGAAGCGTTTTCCGAAGAAGTCGCGAACGTGTCCGAAGGCAATTAGGATTAAATAACTGATGTAGGTGGTAAGGAGGTAGTAATACGGAGGTTCGTCCATGATGGGTTCGGGGAAGTCCCCGCCGGGATGTTGACTCGAGTAACGGTGACTTGGATGACCGATCGGTCCGAATTGAGCGTGCTGCTTCGCCAGGCGGCGAGCCTCCTCCGGCGAGGGAGGCTGAAAGAGAGTGGTGGGCGGTTCGTCCATGTTGGGATTATCTGCCGTCGCAGTAGAGAGAGAAATGGTTGGCAACGAAAGAGACGCCGAGCTGATCGGAGGCGCAGCAGCAGTTCCACCGGTTGTTTGCAGAGCCGCTTGGGCAGGCGACAATTCAACTTTCGACTTAGGCGAGGTCGAAAAGAATTGGGTCAAGCGGTTCGGTTTGGAAGACGCTTTGATGGCGATACCGCCCTTTCCGGAGGCGGAGGAAAAGGACGGCGAGGTGGAGGAGTCGTTGGTGGAAGAATTGGCAGATCGACGAGGCATCGCAAGAAACCGGCCGAACGGGGGAAAAGGATGAAGGTCGCGCGACACCGACGTGATAGACAGAGCGAGACTCCTGGGTTTTCGGAAGGACAGGAATAGCAGGAACTACTCGAGAGGGCACGAAGCAAGGCTTTTTATGTTTTCCAACACAAAAAAAAACAGCGATTTTTGTTATTGTTTCGGGCCTCTTCTCAATGGTGCCAGATCAACGTCAATCTGAACGAGGCGCAGGCAACGGGTCAGTCAATCAATTCCGATGAACATGTGGATCAGGATCAAGGAAGCCGATCGATAAACACCGCGTGAAGATAAAAATAAAATGCAGAATAACAATCAAAACAAGGCGAGGGTGGGGGGGGAAAGAAAAGGAGGGAAGGAAGTAGCGAAGGGGAAGGCAATAATGGGGGAGACGAACAGACGAGGGAGCGAGAGCGAGAGGGAGACACAGGAGGGACTCCGAGAAATCCGGATTGGATTGGTACTGGTAATTTGCCCGGCACGTGGAGGGACGTTGGGGAGGGCACAGAGCCCTGCAACGAAGAATGGGTCGCAACCGACGGGCGAACCTCGATGGTACTAAATTGAAGGACGCAGCCTGCGTTTGAAGCAGCAATTGAGGTTCAGGGAAGAAGGAAGAAAGAAAGAACGGAAGAAATTAATGTTTGAATGAAATCGAGCCCGGATCCGGATCGTGACATGGAACTGGGTCCGAGAGAGCAGAAGCAAGAAAAAGAGAAAAGAGAGAAAAAAAAGAGTGGAGCGGGCGACCCATGCGGTATTTTAATGGTATGATGTGGTATCCACCTCCCGTGTGTCCGTATTTTAGCGGCTGATCAGCTGTGGGAAGTGGTCACAGAACGGTAAGATTACCACCCCCTGGACCGGTCCAGCATAAAACTTGTGAGCGGACCTCCATGCAAGGTACCCTGCCCCTGATCAGGCAGCTTTTTTGATTCCTGAGGCATGACTTCTGAAGTCATGCCTCAGGCCATCTTCGAGTGCCTTCCATTCGAACGGATTGTGGTCCTGACAGGCCCGCCCTTGCCTCCCATGTCCCTGCCTTGATACCTTAACTTCCCCAGTTCCCAACTCCCAACAAACGCCATCTCGGAATTTTCCGCTCCAGAGTCGGGGAACTCGCCTTGCTGGATTCCCGCGCTGACTACCGCGCTGACTAGTTGATAGTTCAAATTTAAAAATGCGTCGGCACCTGCAATTCGGGCCCTCATTAGTTTAGTGTGCTTTTTTTCTTCAAATATTCCTGGAAGGTCCATCACGTTGCCTCGGCGTCGGTCACTGACAACGGAAGTATATATTCTCGGCCCGTGCCCCTCAATCCCTGCTTTAAGGGGGCAAATTGACCGATTATCTTCCGATCTGTTAGTTAAATTAAGAAAGAAGCCGATTGATAAAACGACCAGACAGTCGTGACAATGCCATTCATTGATACCTCTCCCAGTTCGAAAGAACTGTGGCGCCACTCCGCTCCGCATACCACGCAAATCTATGACTTCCTACAAAAGTCCAACCAAACCTACGGAACGTCGCTGACCAGCTACGACGACCTGTGGCAGTGGAGCGTGTCGGAGCCTGCCAAGTTCTGGGAGCATGTGTGGCATTATACTGCTATTAAGGCTCACAGTCAGTATAATGCAGTGAGTAGTCCCCACAGAGGGGCAGCATTCGGGCCGTGGTTGCAAGATTAGGTCAAGGATTCATCTAATGTCCCTGCAGGTGCTGGATTCGGAACAGGTTCTCTTTCCCAGGCCTAACTTCTTCGCCGGCAGCACACTCAATTTCGCCGAGAATCTACTTTACCCAGCCTCATCGCCCGATGAAAATGCCATCGCGATCATCGCCGCTACCGAGGTTGATCGGGAATCCATCTCGTGGAAAGAATTACGGGATCGCGTGCGGCGATGCGCCAATTCACTAAAGGAAGCCGGTCTGCAACCCGGGGATCGAGTGGCGGGATTTTTAGGAAATCATGCGAACACGGTCATTGCAATGCTAGCGACCACTTCCATCGGAGCTTTTTGGACAGGCGTGTCCCCTGATACGGGCGTCCATGCAGTATTGGAGCGTTTGGGTCAGATAGAGCCCAAAATCTTGTTCGCAGACAATGCGTCTCTATATAACGGCAAAGTGCACGGGACAAATACCAAAATCCAGCAGATCATTCCCGAGCTTCCAAAGCTGCAAGTGTTGGTCATTTTCGAGACCGTGAAGTCTCATGGATTCAACCTTGAGGAAGTCCCCCAGACGCAGGCGAAAGTGTCTACTTACGACACTTTTCTCTCCTCAGCTAGCAATCCTTCCGCTCCTCTTGAATTTACAAGTCTTCCCCCTGACCATCCAGTCTATATTCTCTACTCATCTGGTACAACGGGGGCACCCAAACCCATCGTGCACGGCTCTCTCGGAACGTTGTTGCAGCATAAGAAGGAGCACGTGCTTCATTGCGATATACGCCCGGGAGACCGTCTGTTTTATTTCACGACAGTCACTTGGATGATGTGGCACTGGCTGGTTTCGGCACTCGCCAGTGGCGCTACCATCGTTCTTTATGACGGCTCCCCGTTCCGACCTTTCGACGCGGAAGGAGGAAACGGAGAGATGGCTATGCCACGACTGATAGATGAGTTGCGAATTACCCACTTTGGAACGTCGGCAAAATACCTGTCTGTTCTAGAACAAGCGTCCCTCAATCCCAGGACGCACCCGCATCGCCCAGTAACACTGAAGTCCCTGAGGGCAATTTTCAGCACGGGTTCTCCTCTCGCCCCATCCACATTCGAGTACATTTACTCCTCCATCCATCCCGATATCATGCTGGGATCGATCACTGGAGGCACAGATATCCTGTCATTGTTCTGTGGCAGTTGCCCCATTCTTCCCGTCTGCAAAGGCGAGATCCAGTGCCGTTGCCTCGCAATGGCTGTCTCTGTGTATGACTACGCTGGCAATGATATAAGCGCCTCCGGCGAACCCGGCGACCTTGTCTGCACGAAGCCTTTCACTGCGCAGCCGGTGATGTTCTGGCCCCCCGGTCCTGTCGGAGCAGAAAAATACCGCAAAAGCTATTTCGACGTCTTTGGACCGTCAATCTGGCACCACGGCGATTTCGTGCGCCTGAACCCGCAAACTGGGGGTGTGACCATGCTGGGCCGAAGTGATGGTGTCCTGAAACCGGCCGGTGTCAGATTCGGAAGTGCAGAAATATACAATATCCTTCTAAAGCACTTTGCGGATGAGGTTGAGGATTCCCTCTGTGTGGGAAGAAGACGTGATGGAATTGATACAGATGAAACCGTTGTCTTGTTTGTAAAACTGGCTTCGCCTGCTGGATCATCTACTTCTATCTCTTCGGACCTAGTAGCGCGGATCCAAGCAACAATCCGCAAGGAGCTTAGTCCTCGCCATGTCCCCGGCATAGTGGATGCCTGCCCCGAGATCCCGGTGACGTCCAATGGCAAAAAGGTGGAAAATTCCGTGAAGCAGATCGTGTGTGGTTTGAATATCAAGATTGGAGCGAGTGTCGCCAATGCCTCTTGTCTTGACTGGTATCGTTCCTGGGCGGCAGAGCATCTGTAGAGTACAATTTTGGATTTTCCTTATCTTGTTATTACTGAGATTACATTTTGGCGTGTAGAGTCCTGACAGATTGATAGATAGGTTGGTATGGGATAGAAGTTGGTTTCCAAATGGTAGATTTGGGGAGAATTAGTCAACGGCGATTCTAGATCTCGGATTATTAAAGAATGCACTACTCTTGTTGCCACCGCAGGATAATCAAAATTGATTCTGATGATTTTTCAAACCATTGGTCTACATCTGATTACATTTATTATTAGTTAATTAGCTCTCCAAAGCCCAGAAACCACTGGCCAAAAACCAGAGCTCCCATTCACGCGCGGACACCTGATTAGATAAGCGAACTCCGAGTCTCCGGGCCAAATCCTTGCGACCAAAACCTCCAAGAACCAGCTTCTTCTCGCCAGACGGGGATGACCAATTTGATTTGAACCTACCTGTACATTTCATATATCAAACCATCACAATGCGTCGCTCTGTCTTACGGGCCGTGGAGTCCGCAAAGCCACTTGCTCGCGTGCCTCGTTCGGTGTCGAGAGGCTTTGCTACTGAGGCCGGCTCCAAGGTAAACCAAACCGAACACCCAGGCCATGATTTGTTGGGGTTTCTCTTGATCTAACAAAAGATTTACCTCTGGTAGGATCCCGCCGAGCTTGAACAGATCACTACGCTGCCAAACGGCATTCGCGTCGCCACCGAATCTTTGCCCGGACCCTTCTCCGGCGTCGGCGTTTACATCGATGCTGGATCCCGATATGAGGACGAGAGTCTGCGGGGTGTGAGCCACATCATGGATCGACTGGCTTTCAAGTCGACAAAGACGCGCTCCAGTGATGAGATGCTTGAGACTCTCGAGAATCTGGGCGGCAACATTCAGTGCGCTTCTTCCCGCGAGTCGCTGATGTATCAGTCCGCTAGCTTTAACTCCGCCGTTCCTACAACCCTCGGCCTGTTGGCGGAAACGATCCGTGATCCGCTCATAACTGAGGAGGAAGTCCTTCAGCAATTGGCCACGGCCGAATATGAGATCGGAGAGATTTGGGCCAAACCGGAGCTTATCCTGCCCGAGCTGGTCCACATGGCGGCTTACAAGGATAACACACTGGGCAACCCTCTGCTATGTCCGGAAGAGAGGCTGGGAGCAATCAACAAGGCCGTTGTCGAAAAGTATCGCGAGACTTTCTTCAACCCCGAGCGGATGGTCGTTGCGTTTGCCGGCGTGCCTCACCAGACGGCTGTTGGCCTCACGGAGCAGCTTTTCGGCGACATGAAGAGTCATCAAGGCCCTAGCTTGTCCGGCAGCGGCGTTGACACCACTTTGTCAGAAGGCCAGGAGCCCACTGTTCCGCAGTTTACTCCCACATCCACTATCTCGACTCCTGCTGCCTCCCAGAAGGCGCAGCCTAGTCTCTTCTCTAAGCTACCCTTCCTGAAGAACCTTTCCACATCTGGCTCCAACGAGGCCGTCACGCCATCGGAATCAGACTTGACGAGTCCTTCGCGCTACACCGGTGGCTTCCTTTCTCTTCCGCCGATCCCTCCGCCCGCGAACCCCATGCTTCCTCGGTTGAGCCATATCCACCTCGCCTTCGAAGCTTTGCCTATCTCCAACCCCGATATCTATGCTCTTGCCACTCTTCAAACCCTTCTCGGAGGAGGCGGATCGTTCTCTGCTGGCGGTCCCGGCAAGGGAATGTATTCTCGTCTTTACACAAACGTGCTCAACCAGCACGGATGGGTTGAGAGCTGCATTGCGTTCAACCACAGTTATACCGACAGCGGAATCTTCGGAATCTCTGCATCCTGCAGCCCGACCCGCACTACGGAGATGCTTGAGGTTATGTGCCGCGAACTCCAGTCGCTGACCATCGACTCCGGATTTGCGTCCTTGCAACCTCAGGAGGTTAACCGGGCGAAGAACCAGCTGCGCTCCTCCCTCCTTATGAATCTGGAGTCGCGTATGGTTGAGCTGGAAGATCTCGGCCGTCAGGTCCAGGTCCACGGTCGCAAGGTCGGCGTGAAGGAGATGTGCGAGCAAATCGAGGCACTGACCGTGGAAGATCTGCGCCGGGTGGCACGACAAGTCTTCGGAGGCAATGTTCAGAACAAGGGACAGGGTACCGGTAAGCCGACTGTGGTGCTGCAGGAAGGTGAACTGGAAGGCTACAAGCTTCGTTCATTCCCTTGGGAGGAAATTCAGGAGCGCATTGCGCGGTGGAAGTTGGGCCGGAGATAAATCTTGGAGATGGAAGCGTCGCAGATAGACACACGATTGTACTTGTTGGAATGTATACTATAGAATTGGGGAGGACGACTGGCGTGAGAATCTTTAATTTTCTCCTCTCCCTGTAATTAAGCGGATTTATTATGATATTAGATCTGAGATATTATTGAGGTATGAGGCGGTCGCAATGACGCTCTGTAGTTGGCCGAAGCTCCTTGCCGCTTTAGGCGCGTTTGGGTCGGGAAAAAAGTTGGAACGAACTTCAAATCCGCCGTCACCCATCATTCTCCGTCCTCTCGACTTCCATTTCCACCACGACCCCCGATCACCCCAACCCTCTCGTCGACCCTCCACCTCCCGTTTTAATTCACCACCGTCACAATGGTCAAGCTTACCGAAGTCGAGGATGAGCATTTCGCTCAGGAGAAGCCCCAGACCACCAAGAACAACGTCCTCTTGGACTCGGATGACGAGGAAGACTACACTGACACCGGTTAGTATCCTGGCAGTCCTGGAGCGATGGAATTACCTAGGGCAATCATATCGCCTTTCATTCATTTTCGATTCACGTCCCAACATCGCTATTCCTATCCGCGACATATCATGCTTTTCCAACATCCGATCCATGCCTACCTATACATACCCTCAATTACGTTGATGAAATCATAAAAGTTTCTTTTTCTGACAATCGCTATGAACTGCAGAGTCCGAGATCTCGAACGATGAAGAGATCGAGCTTGAGAACGAGGGCCTGTACGAACGTTTGTCGGCCTTGAAAGATATCATCCCCCCCTCCGCCCGTCGCTCAGTCAACAACACCGTCTCCTCCGTCACTTCCTTCACAAAGTCCACAGTCTCCTTCAGCGGCAAGGCGCTGTGGATCATCAGCACCAGTGCTTTCCTCCTCGGTGTCCCATGGGCCCTCGCCTATGCCGAGGAAGAGCAGTACATCCAGATGGAGCGTGAGCAGGGCATGATTAAGGGTGCCAACGAGGTATGTTCACAGACAATGTGTTATTTCGCGTCATCACTATTGGCATTACTCGGCTGCTCCGGTATCATTGGCGGTGGCTATCATCGTGCGCCCGATGATGGGGATGACGTGAAAAAAACTTTTCCGTCAACAACACCGCGCCAAGAAACCGGAACACGCGACTTTCAGCGCTGCCAATGCAGTTCTATGCCATCTGTGCCGTGTTTTCGTTAAATAGGTCGCGGTTGGAGTCTAACAAATATGTCGTTGCAGATGCTCACGCCCGGCGCTCCCACGGAAGAGAAGCCGGCCCAGCCTACTTTGTAAATGAACTTTCCTATCGAAGATGAAGATCGCAACAGGTGAAGAAGATCAACCTTTATACCTCGCCATCACCTACTGTCTTTGTCCGAAGCCGCCTGTTGCTTTTGTTGTCTCGCATACGACGTCATCATCTGCCTAAAGCAGATCTGTACTAGTCGACTGGGACCAATACTCAACGAACCGAAGATTAATCATATTAAAAGAATAACAAAATCCCAAAAAAGCACCAACGAGCATTTGTCTTACTGCAGCGTTGCATGGTAGTCTGGTTGGGGAAACAAAAAGGATGTACAAGAAAATTTTCGGGTGGGATGTTCCTGCGTCTTTCTCGGGCAATGGCAGGTTGGACACGATGGTCATGGATATGGTATCCCCGCCCACCTGTTTCTTTCGGAGTCTTTGGTCTATCTGACTTGCTTCTTTCCTCTCATGCCTTCTGGTTTGGCTGGCGTGTTGGACCTCGGGCAATGGCTGTATTTGTATAAGTGATTTCCTATTTCTTTCAATTCGTTTCGTTATGTCCATTGTTTATCTACTCTATATTGATCTCAATCTCTCTGAATAATGGAATGTGAATGATTCTAGAGACGATACATTCCACCTCAAGGTCCCGTGCTGGTCGGAGCCTGTCGTTTTGGCTGGAGTCTTCCGTTTGATGATCTTTTGGTTTTTGGTTTGGGTGGTATTTCATTCACCGGCCCTTCCTCTCTTCCTCTTCTTTCCTATCTCCCTCTCTCTCTTTCAATACGACCAAACGCGACGACATTAACTTCCTTACGCCTTGAAAATAGCCTTTTTGGGGCGTACGAGCTTAAGGTACTTCTTTCCGCTACCCCGAACCTCCAATTACTCTTCTATGAATTCATCCCCGCCTACAAGACCCTCTCCATGTATGCATGGGTTCAACCGCTTCAGGGAATTGAATATTATCAATTTGATTTTTCGATTCTAGCGTCTGCATTGCACCAGGTGCCTGCCCTTCAGGAGCTTCATATCTGCCACCATACTTCATGGCCAGTATATACTCACCCACCGGCGCTGAAGTTGTCCCTAGCGTTGTTGACAAGATTACGGAAATTGGCCATTCAGCTTCCACTTCTAATATGGGGAATGTTTTACAAAGACCCCTCCAAAGACCCCTCTAACTTAGATTCGTTCCCACCGAGTTTAGAATCCTTGACAATTCTAGACTGGGAAGATGAATGCGACGATTATTATGCTCCAGAGATCGTGGATAGGATGAGGCCGTTTTTAGAAAGTAGGGGGAATTGAAAGTCGGCATTGAAAGAGGTATTCATGGCGCCAGTGTATGGATTCGTAACCGAGGAAACTACACCGGGTGAAGGTTTTGCAACGGCGTGGGAAGAGTGGGAGGACCTGGGGAGGAGAAATGGGGTTTTGTGCGGCAAGATGAAGAAATGAGAAAGGGGACTTTTGGTGGCATATTAATTGAATGGTTGGACAGGCCTTAGTATTGTTGGTCTGGGTCTTGATGGGTATGTTAAGAATGGGTTTGGCTATGTCTAAAGAGATACAAATTGGACTACCTGCAACCAACCGAGTCCTATTTCTTTCAGTTCGATTCGTCATGTCCATTGTTTATCTACTTTATATTGATCTCTGAATAATGGAATGTGAATGATTATAGAGACACGGTATTATCTATTCTGGAGATCTGCTGGTCGGAAGGCAGCCGTTTTGGCCTGAGTCATCAATTTGATCATTTTGATTTTTCTATATAACTTGCTCTCCACGCTTTCGGGTTGATAACTCCGTCAACATGAATCTTCCATTAGAATTGTTCTACGAAATAGCTGATTATGTCTCTTCTAATGACTTGAAAAACGTTGCTTGCACCTGTCGTTGTCTGTACCCGGTTTATATCAATCGGTTATATCGTGACATCCGATTCGTCAAACACGAAGAGTCTCCTATATATCTATACCGGCGCATTTGCCTTCTCGTGCGGACTCTTGTGTTAGATTGATCTTGACGAACCCTCGTCCACATATTTGAGATTCACTGGGAAGTCAGAGAAGGCGATCGACAAATTTACTGGGGTCTGTGTCCTCAGTTCAGCCAGGACGACCTCCGGCAGTTAAAGGCGCAAATTCTCAAGGAGCGACTACCAAATGCGCACATTCCAGGTGCGAGCACATGGCGTAGTAACCTGGACGATGGAGATGTAACATCTATCATTGACCTGGCTCTATCAATTATGCCAAACCTCAAATCCCTCTACCTGGACGTTGACTTCCACGCCTCAAACTTCGGCCTCTTTCATTTGACTCAGTGTGCTATCTCCTATCTCCAATCCTAATCCCACTTACCACCTCCCGAGCGGTCCCCCATCGTCTTCACCAATCTCAAACATGTCACCTACGCTCCCATTGTCGTAGACGTCTTCGCCAAACATCGCTGGTTTGACCGCAACCTCATCCCCACACTTTTCTACCTCCCTCGCATTGAGTCCATCACCGACATAATGCCCTACCACCCCGGCTTCAAATGGGACCAGCATGCTGGCTTAAATTCTGCCTTCCAGTCCCGACCAAACGCCACAACTCTGACCTCTCTACGTCTCGAAAACAGCCTCATTGACAGCAACACCCTTGCGGAGCTTCTCTCCGCCACTCCGAACCTTCAATCCCTCTACTACGAATTCAGCCCCCCCTTCAAAAGCTTGACTGTTATTGAGAGGTGGCAGAACCCTGCTCCAGAGCCTTGGAGGTTCGATTTCCATGCACTAGCGCTTGCTTTGCACCAGGTGCCTACGCTTCAAGAGCTCTGTATAACAATTAATTGGCATGCCAATTTCACCGGGCCGAGGGAGTCGATGCTCGAAATCTCTTCTGAGTTCTCGTCTCTGGCACCGTTGACGAGATTGCGGAAATTGGCCATCCAGTATGAATTACTATTGGGAACGGGGCCGTCCGTTCACTCGACTTGCTTGGAATCGTTGCCGTGGAGTTTAGAATCTTTGGCGATTCTATACTCGTTTGACACGGACCATCAGCTGGGCGAGGACTGGAAGTTTGCAGAGTATATGGATAAGATAAGGCTGTTTTCAGAAAATAGAGGGGATGGGAAGTCAAAATTAAAAGAGGTATTGTTGGAGCCAATATTTGAATTTATAGACAGCGATACGCCGGATGAGGATTTTGAAGAGGCATTGGAAGGGTGGCAGTATTTGGGGAAGCGCAATCGGGTGCGATGTGTCGAGGCGGACCCCTTTGATTGGGATGATTGGATTAGCTGATCTTGATTATATGCGGATAAAACAAGAATTGAATTACGCGCCAATAGACCAAGCCCCCATATCAAAGCATGCAATCGCCAAATGAACCACAAAAAGAGACTTCGGTAGGGTATCACGCAACGCAGTTTAAACAAAAGTAAACGAAACCAAAATCCTCAATATGCAGGTAACTCATCCAAGAGTCTAGATAGCACGGATTGACATTAGCACCTGGATGAAATCACGCATATTGAGTAGAAGGAATGTATACATACCGTAGATTCTCTCGCCGTTCTCAAGTTGATATGGAAGTCTCGCCAGAGCTTCTTGACCTCGCCGCCCTCGACCATATCACGAAACGCCTCGCTGGCGTATTTGGCTTTGCGTTTCTGGCTCCAGTGGCCGCGTTCGAGGACTTTTTCGTCGGAGACGTGTCCTACACGCGCGAGGTGGTCGACGACCCATTCGTTGAGGTGGAAACGCCAGTGCGTGAGCGTGTGAGCCATTGTGGCTCGGCCTTTGCAGTGTCTGGGGGTTTGAACATGTAAGTGTAAGTAAGAGTGAGAAGTATAGGTAGGGAAACGAAGTTACCTTCCGAGATAGAAGCGGGTGTTTTCGTCTGGTAGGACGTGGCCGTCCCTGTCTCTTTCTAAACCGTCGTCTTCTTCCTCTTCATCGTCGGACTGTTCCTTATCGCTGTCTGAATCTGCGAGCGGTTCCAAAGTGTCGAGGGAATACACTTTGCCGTAGAATTTGAGATCCGCAGATGCGGGATGACCGGATCGTTTGCATGCGTCACAGGGATGGTTCTCGGTGGTAGGGAAGGTGGTTTCTTCGAGATGCGGCCGCGCCATGAGGGCCCGACAGAAGTCGGCGTTCCAGACAGAAGAGATGAGTTGGGAGCCGGTACGACCCTTGACCTCGTCCTCCAATTTATCGAACGCAACTTTGTAAATGGCGCTGGAGCGAGGGAACGCGGGGAAGAGCTGATTCAGCACCATCCACTCCACCGCGTCTTGGAAGTAATCCTTCAATTGCTTATAGGAGTGTCGAGAGAACTCGATGGGCATTTCGTCGAGGCCGGCGGGGACACCGAGTTTGTCGTCGTCATCGTCATCGAGAACAAAGTCTTTGTCATAGCGGTCGAGGTCTTCGTTGCTGGCGATCTCGGACTCGACGTCGCTGTCTTCTCTCGCGAAAGGGATTTGGGGTTGTCGAACAGCTTCTTCCTCTTCGTCTTCGGCTTCGCTCGAGTCATCTTCGGATGATTCCGTCTCATCTGGCTTCGGTTCTGATTGCTCTTCATCTGTCTCTGTCTGACCGGCTCTGCGTCGACGCAGTGCTTCTAAGTGCTTTTGTCTCTGTGCCCTAGCCGAATTTGCGACTCGGCCTCGAGTGCGAGATTGTGTGACAACTTCGACAAGTCAGGTTTGAGCACAATCGTTGCCAGAGATTATAGTTACTCACCGGAATCCTGAAGGTCCTCCAAATCCTCCTCTAGATCAAGTTGATCTTGGTTCCTGTTGCGACGCGGAGTCTGAGGCTCTTCCACGCTCATGTTGCGGCGACGCCGTTTTACCGGGGACGAAACAATAGGCTCATCCGACTCGTCCGAGCTATCATCAAGAACGATCGTTGCGGGCTGAGCTGGACCTCTTCGCAACTTCCGACGAGGCCGGGCCACCACACCCTCCTCATCATTGTCCTCTTGTGCCGAAGGGCCCGCACGGGTCGGAGATTGAGGGCTCGAACTTTCCGGGGAAGGCGACCTTTTCCGCTTGACGGCTCTGTTTTTGCGCACGCTTGATTGTATCTCCAGGTCGCTATCGCTGCTTTCTTTGGCCGGGGATATAACTTCGGGCGTTTCACTTGGGGGCGGAGAAGGATTGCCTGTCGAGTTTTGGTGGCTTAGCAAGCGCTTCTCGTTTCCTGAAATAAAAGAATGTATTGTAGCACACGTACGGCTCTTTTTTTCCTTCTTTTCCCTCCGCTTCTTTTTCTTGTCCTTTTTCTTATCGCCTTTCTCACTTTTCTCCTTCACCTTCACTTCGTCTTTCACCTTCTCCTTCTCCGCCTCTTTCGCTTTCTTGTCCTTCTTGCGCCGAGGTTTCCGAGACTCATCTGTCGGAACCTCACCGTTCTCTGTAGACTTATCCACCACAAACGGATCAGGAGAAGCCTTGCGCGCAGAACCCATATTCACTTTCGAGCGCGTAGCCGGAACCGTAGGCCTGGACGGATGCCCATATTTCAAAGTCGCCTCGCGCGCCATTTCGTCATTTTCATCGTCATCGGTCGGTAAGGCTATCGGCGCGAAGGAAAGCCGAGTTTGTTTCGCTTTGCCGTATGTGCGGGGCATCTGTGGGGTGGAATGTATGAACACGGGTTTTGCTGTAAGATAAGAGAGTGATTGCGTCTGATTCTATGTCAAGTGTAAATTGAGGATTGGGTTGGGGAGGATTGATGAGGAATGTAGGTAGAGAGGGGCACGGATGAAAATCGCGGTGCGGAAGATCAGATCGCGATAAGATCGCGTTCCAGTGTCACGAAGGCACGTGATGTCATAGTATCCTCAGTGGACTGGGGGGTGTCACTTAGAGGTCTTATCATTTATTCAGAGAGTAGATGAAATTATTTGAGAAGATGGAAATTCTTGACGTTCTGTCTAGGAGGAGTGAGGATCTGATTGTCTCCTGGTTGCTGTGGATTGCGATTATTATTCACATCGGTCTCATAGACTGGTTTAATGAGCCATATGAGTGATAGTAAGGAAGAGACAACGGTTTCTTGTTCGTTATTTCCGATTACCCTTAGACAAATTTATTGGACTCGTTTGTCTTTCAATTCCCCCTCATAAGTTGGCTGTATCGTGTCGATTCTTCTAGTCCCGTGCGTCGTGGATGTTATGGATTTTGACAATGTGGATGATGCCCATCAAGGTTCCTTCTATCATGGATATTATCAGCTAGATAGCGAGGTCAATTTTTCAAATTACATCTAGAATGGCTTCATAGGATTCAGTCCATAGAATTATTGAGAAAATGACACTTTAGTCTCCTATAGCTGAATGCCACAATCTCGACACTCCCTACCCCTCGATTGCTACGTATTAGCATATCGCATGCACCAAAAAAAAAGCCTACTACACTCGGGTGTGATGCTCTCTCAACTGAAATAGCCCACTAAATCCCGATTATCTGGAGACTTGGTGCTCACTTTAAATCGAATTCGCGATGGTGAATGATACAGGTAGCAAAGCGTAGGAGTATAAGTGTAAATTGATCAAATAGTTTGTTCTCCGTGCGGAATTGCCTGGAATGAATAAGTTCTACGAGAAAGTGGTCATCTCGTAGGGGTTTGTGGCGTATGGTTCCATCGGATCTTGTTTTGACCACTCAGGTTTGATAATGAACCTGACGGCCCTGGAGCTGGGAAGTTTCAAGGGCAGGCTCCTGCAGTACTATCTGTCCGTTTTTGAACACTTGGGAACAAAAAAGAGAATAAGAAAAGGGATCTCGCTCCTATCTCTAATATCTGCTTGTTTGTCTCGATTCCTGCCACTTCTGTGATTTCCTGAGAGGACAAGTCCAGCAACAGAGCCATATATTGCGGTGCGGAGAGCCTGTCGGTTCGCCCAGAGACGTGTTACCAAGCGAACGGAACACTTAGCGTCATCGCAAAAGAGGGATTAGGCTAGGATGCTTTCTGGTGGCCAACTATTCGCAACAATCATTGAGAACACTGATGAATCTCTCAACACGATGAATTCCTGAAACTGTATGCGCATGGTCCTCGGAGGTCAATCAAATTGGCCTGGGAGATGAACTCGCACAGATGCCCTGCAGGAAGTGGCGAGACTCACGTCGGTTAAAACCGAACAATTAGCGTGCAGATTTTAGGCTAAAGAAAGCCTAGTCTCTTGGCCCCTTTTGAAATTGTACGGTGTACAAACATGTAGGTGAGTGGCAAGTCCTTCGTATTGTCACTGACGATAAGATCAAGTTTTCTGGCTAGACCTTGAGCTGATATATTCCTTCCGAAATCTGGACAGGGCGAGACAAACCGAGAGAAGATGAAAAAAAGATGTAGTGAAATGAAAAGAGGGAAAAGAAGCGGTCAGCCAGTCATCATTCGGAGCACTCTAACAGCCCTATCCAAAAGCTGGGCGACAAAATTTCCGATGACCTGAAAATATCGCGTGTAATTGCTTAGAAGGCGTCCTTGGCGGCGAAGAAGCACACGGCAAAGAAGACGACTCGGCGAGGCTTGTCCGCGGACATGTGATCCCATCCCGTGACTCTCCTCGACAGTAGGTAACTAACTATTCTAAAGTCCTGATCCTCTTTTCTCTCCCCATTCTTCCCCGGCCCCCCAGACTTTCTCACCCCAGGAAACTAATTGGATTCTAGGCTCGACTCCACCTTCCTTTTCCATTGGTGGATTCGGCCTTATCTTTGCATCCTGTGATATCTGCCTTTGATTCGTGGAAACCGTCAAGTGGGCTCCTGTCGCCGGGCCAGAATTTCCTCGAATCTCCACCCCAGGTTACCCCATGGCACCACGATGCCCTGCAATGGCCCCCGTAATGGAGGTCCCAATATCTGGCTTGGTTCGGTTCACCCCAGATACCCCACCAGTCAGAAATGTTGGAGCCGAAAGCTCGACCGCTACCACGAACAAGCTAGGATGTTAGTGCCACCGGGGAGGCAAGTCCTTGGTGTCTCTTGGCTTTCAGCGTGGCTGGATGACTGAAATTGTAGCGAACGCTCGCTTAGCTTTAATATACGGTTGCTCCCTCGTGAATGTCTCGTACTGCTCGCATCTTTTGGGGTTTATTGATACCCATCTATTCCTAGACATCGCAGCACTGGTGTCTCTTTGGCCCATTTTGTGCCCATTTCCCTCGTTGCGCTTGCTTTTTTCTTTTTTAAGCTATAATACGGTTGAACATTCTGCTATAATCTTTTTTCTGTGTTGTTAGGTCTGACTGTACAGTTAAGGCACGAGTAAAGCGCACATAATGGGATTTCTAACATCCAAGAGAGCCTATAACTGGTTTGTACACCGTTCATTTCATATTCCCCGCATTCAGGTCTGATTCGATCTTGTATAGGTTCATCTCGCTGGTTGCGGCATCATGCATGGTGCTCTATGGGTACGATGCGTCCGTATACAACTCGGTGCAAGGGTCGGATAACTGGGTGGAGTACTTCAATAACCCTGGTCCAAATATGATTGGTGGTGTGAACACGGCCTACACCGTGGGTGCCATTTTCGGTGGATTCTTCCTGGGAGGACCCATCGCCGATTTTCTTGGTCGCAAGTTCGGTATGGGAACAGGATGTGTCCTGGTGATCGCTGCCACTTTCATGCAAACCTGGGCTCCTCGTGGTAACATCGCATGCTTCCTTGCCGGGCGATGCATCATTGGTGTGGGTCAAGGAATTGCCTTGAGTAAGTCAAGTTGCCTTTTTACGCTTTGGAGCTACCAGCTAACTTGGCGGTTGCAGCTGCGGGTCCGATTTACATCGGTGAACTGGCGCCAGCGGAAATTCGTGGAAAGATCATGACCTTTTGGCAGATGTTCTACTCCGTTGGATCATTCATCTGCTTCTGGGTAGCCTATGGGTGTACTGAGCATAAGGAAAATCTAGGAGAATGGGATTGGAAGATGGTTGTGATTTTCCAGCTCCTTGTCCCGGTTTTGATTCTTGCTCTATTGCCCACTATTCCTGGCTCCCCTCGATGGTAAGAATGAAAACATTATGTTGATCGAATCAACTATTGACAACTTTCTAGGTTTATCCAACGCGGTAACAACATTGAAAAGGCCCGTGCTGCTCTTATGAGAGTCCGAGAAACCGAAGAGGAGGTTGAGGATGAGCTTCTCAAAATCCGAGAGGCCATTGAGTACGAGAAAGAAGCTATTTCTAGCGGCTATTCCGCGCTCTGGAAGGATGGGTCTTTGCGGAAGCGAATGGCCCTGGCTCTTGTGTTGAATGCCGGCCAGCAGATTACCGGACAAGGCACCTTGAACACCTACTCGACCAAGATCTACCAAAAGGTGTTCGACAGCGCCGGCCAGATCGCTCTGATTAATGCTCTCAACGCTACCTTTGGTATTATTTTCACGCTCAACGCCGTTTGGATCATCGATCGATTTGGACGCAAGTTCCTTCTCATTGTCGGTGGTATCGGTATGGGTATTTGTATGATCATCGTTGCGGCTGTCGAGACGGAAACCCCTTCACCGGATGGAGCCAAAACGCAACCAGTCGGGATATCCATCGTGTTCTTACTCTTCTTGTTTATTTTCTTCTGTAAGTCTGCTCGATATCTGACATTCCCCCTGAGAGCAACCTACTAACAGAGCTACAGATAAGCCTTCCTGGGGTGCGACCGTGTGGATCTGGACCTCGGAGATCTTCTCCATGAACGTCCGAGCCCAGGCAGTGGGCATGGCCTCGCAGACGCAGAACGTCGCCAACGCCATCTTCCAGCAATTCTTCCCCATCTTCCTCGACAACGAGGGATTCTATGCCTTCTACATGTTTGCCGGTATCAACTTCCTCCTGGCGGTGTTCGTGTTCTTCTTGATCCCGGAAACCAAGCAGGTCCCTCTGGAGGAAATCGATGCCCTGTTCGGCGGCGCCAACCACGCCACGCAAGGTCAAGACTATATCCTGAACGAGAAGCAAATGGCTGTCCACCAGCAAGAAGCGGGTGGTGAGAAAGCGGATGCCGTCAACGTTGAGGATGCGTCTCAGCGGTACAAGTGAGTTTGGGGTCCCTGTGGCATGTAATCGATACCAGACGCAAGGGTGCGTTGTATGTGTTCAAAGTAGTGAGCATATAGTGCTGCAAGTGCTATATAATATGAAGTCTATCAATAATATTATCCTGGTTCACTTACAAATGTGTAGGTCTGTAGGGGCCAGTGTAAAGTGGAGTCTACCCCGGATTCTAATGTTCTTGCGGAGAAATGCGGGGAACGTGGAGCCCGAGCACGCTGACTTGTTCCATCGCGAAAGTCCAGCCTAGAAATTCAATTTAACATACCATACTTGACTCGTATGCTAGACAGGGTCCTTGCATTCGAAGAACCTCCAGACAAGTGAGCCAATCTAACCAACCCCAGCCTCCTTTCTTCCTCCTACAGAGAACAGCATGAACCTACGAGGCGGAACCTCTTCCGCCCTCGCCAAGGAAAGTGTCCTGACTCGCTAGCTTCCTGCATCCTTCCACATACTAGCATAGGATCGACATCCTCAGGTATGACAGGACGTGGAATTCCTCCGCACCGGGAGGTCCGGGAACTCTCCTTGCTATACGAGATGAAAACGGACTGACGGGGTCGAGATCCTAGAGTTGTATATTGAGTTATGTTTTTAACTGGTTTGTGATTCAATGTATGGCTTGTTTGGTGGTCCTTGTGGGCACGTTTGTGTGCATCTTCACAGCACGCGTGTACAGAGCTCCATTTGTAGGGTGCCCTCCAGCTGGGCCTGACTATTTAATAGAACTCGAGCGGGCAAATGCTTGACAGATGCATTCCTTTTAACTTATGCTGGGTCATGCGTACCTTCAGATACCACTGCACGCAAACTCGATCAACTCTCCCCGCCGCCACAACGAAACTCAATCCTTTATACCCGGTAACTACCACTCGACACGGACTGTAAGCGCGGAAACTCGGCTTTCAAGGCGGAATTGATGTAGATCGCGGGGACAGTCCCTTCCAAGGCTTTATCCAAAGAGGGGATGGGGTGAATTTATGCAGGAGAGTAAGGCCAGAAATATATAAGAACCTGTTAATTGAACCTCTTAAGTTACACAAGGCGGGGCAGGCAAAAGTTAGTACTTAATATAGTTATTACCAGATCTTTTCTCTCAGAAGATTCGGCTTCTCCTCTACCTCCATCTGCTGCATTTATCTAAACATCCCATACTACTAACGATGCCTCTATTACCCACCACCAACCCCAACCACACCAAAGACCCCCCCGAATCCTCCACCATCGAAGACATCGCCCTCACCCTCAAGCCGTCACACAACAACGATCCCATCGACCCTGTCGCCGAAAAGCGCCTTCTCTGGAAATGCGACCTCCATGTCGTCCCGATCCTCACGCTCCTCTTCATGTTCGCCTTCCTCGACCGCATCAACATCGGGAACGCCAGATTGATGGGCCTCGAAGCGGATCTGGGCATGTCTGGCCACCAGTACAACGTGGCGCTGTTTGTCTTCTTTATTCCGTACATCCTCTTCGAGGTGCCGAGTAATATGCTGCTGAAGAGGATGAGGCCGTCGTGGTGGTTGAGTGGGATTATTTGTGGATGGGGTGGGTTTTGCTTACTTTCATTCATTCATGCTCCGTGTTCCGGGGTTGCTTGCCTGCCTGCTTTTTAACTACGAACTGACTCGGGGGACTTAGGCATTGTGACGATCTGTCAAGGTGTCACGCGTAGTTTTGCCGGTCTGGTTGTCTGTCGGGTTATTATTGGGTTATTGGAGGCTGGGTTCATGCCGGGTATGATACTCACCTTTCACTATACCATATTCATTTATGTTTGATCTACTAACTGACTGTTTGGAATGACTCAGGCTGCGTCTATCTCATCAACATGTACTACCGTCGTCATGAACTCCAATGGCGTCTGAACGTCTTCTTCAGCGCAAGTATCTGTGCTGGTGCGGTTAGCGGCGTACGTCTTGCCCTGTCCGTCTTGGTTGCCTATCACTACCACTACCACTACCTATCACTACATCTAAGGAGGATCCTCTATCCAACCCCAAACCCAACCCTAGCAATATAAACCCCTCTAGCTAACATCCCCACCCAAAAAAAAATAAAACAGCTCCTCGCCTACGCCATCAACAACATGGACGGCATAGCCGGATACAGCGGCTGGCGCTGGATCTTCATCATCGAAGGCCTCGCCACCGTCGTCCTCGCCATCACCGCCAAGTTCATCATCGTCGATTGGCCCGAGTCAGCCACGTTCTTGACAGAGACTGAGCGTGCTCTCCTGATTCGTCGTTTGGCGGAGGATCAGGGCGCGGCGAGGATGAATCGGTTGGATCGGAAGTCGTTGAAGAGGGTGTTTTCGGATCCGAAGGTGTATCTTGGGTAATTAACTTTCCTTTTCCTTTACTCCCCCTTCGTTTTCTATTGGGGATTTATATTCAGGGGGTGATGAGGGGGCTAAATAGAAGGAGGAAGGGAGTTGAAGATGAAAGACTAATCTGTTTGCTCAATGCAGTCCCATCATGTATTTCGGCATCGTCAACACCGGCTACGCAGTCTCGTTCTTCGCACCCACTATCCTCCACCAGATGGGTTGGACAGCCGTCCGCGCTCAAGTCATGAGCATCCCGATCTACGCCATCGCGATGGTAACCACGCTAACAGCCGCATGGGTCAGCGACCGCCTCCGCCACCGATACGCCTTCACACTCGCGGGCTGTCTCGTCGCCACGACAGGCTACGTGATCCTGCTCTGCCAGACCCGCGTACCCGTCGGGGCGCGGTACTTCGCATTGGTAGCCATCACGGGTGGCGGGTACCTGACGCAACCAATCCTGATGGGCTGGTTGAGCAATAATATGGCGGGTCACTATAAGCAGTCGGTGGCGTCGGCGATGCAGATCGGGCTTGGGAACTGTGGGGGTCTCGTTGCGAGTAATATCTTCTATCAGGAGGAGGCGCCGGCGTATACCACTGGGTATGGGGTCAGTTTGGGGATGACGTGGATTTGTGGGATCGCGTGTGCGGTGTTTTTGGCGTATTTGGTGAGGGAGAATCGGTTGAGGATGGGTGGGGGGAGGGATTATCGGTATAGTTTGCCGAGGGAAGAGGTGGAGAATTTGGGTGATGGGTATCCGGCGTTTCGGTTTACTTATTAGGGATATTTGGAGGGGGGGTGTGGGTTGTTTTGGGGGCTGTTGGTTCGGTATGATTGAGTTTGATGTATTTATTTCACTGTCGAGTATAGACGGTCGTGGTCTTGGTAGATCCGTTCGTGCCAATCACCGTACACGTCCAAGATGAGATAGTCACGCCCTCCAGTTGGAAGGCATACTCGTATCGAGGACCCTGGTCATCTGCATCTGCAGTGGCATGCACCACATATTTCTCGCTGTCTTTGTCCAGCTGTGCCGGTGCGAGACAAAATCCATGGGAGAACTGAGATGCCGAGTGGGGATCTACAGTTAGATCGACATCCCATATGCCGATATGCGGGTTTGAGCCCTCCCTAGCGAGTCGATAAACTGACCTAGCTATCTCATCTGAGCTCTGCAGGCGTTCCTCGCTGATGTACTCTTTTTCGTACTCTTGACTCGACGGATACCGGGGATGGAAGGTCGTTGTTCCAGAAATACGATCCTCGTTGATGGAAGTCCGAGTGAACCGCCAGGTCCCATGAAGCGCTCTGAATGTCGCCGATGCCATAGCCAAGCTAGACGATCCGGGTTCGGGAAAAAGTGTTCCTCGTAGTGAGTTGATCGTGGTTGCTGCCTCCCTATGCATGCTCTTGTCCTCTTTGCAGTTCTCGTTCGTATAACGAGCCGGGATCACCGGACCAGGCCACTCCCCAGTGTCCAGCGGAGATCGAGACACTCGCACGTCCCTAGCAAACGACTCCATCAACCCGACATAGTCACCCATGGGAAATTGCAGGGTCGATCCGGCTCTGCGAAAGTCACGAACTGTCTGTCTTTCCTGCCTCTTTTTCTCCACCATCTCGGCTGAAGAGAGTTCCGGTTCTGACTCTGATCGAAACCAACCCTCTGCGACGTTTCGCGCTTGCATTTCCATCACGCCCCAATAGGGTCCTCTGTAGAACCCTACAAACCCAATGTCTGGTAGCTGGGCATTCGTGCTTCCTTTCCCGTCAAGAACGACTGGGAAGAATGCATCAGTTGCCGAGTACTCCAGCGTCGCGAGCACATCAGCAGGTAGGAAATCGAGGGATGAGAACGGCGCGAATCCCGTCGCCGTTATAATTGCAGCGACATCATCTAAGGAGGTGGTGTTACCGTCTGCAGATTGTATATTGATTCTCGCCTTGCCGGTCTCAGAGACATGAGCGGCACTGACTCGACCGATGGTCGTACGGATAGACTCTGAGCGCACATATTCCGCATAGTCGTCTCCGATTCCGATCCATGATGGCTGGATTGGTTCACTCGCCCCATTATCTAAACTGAACACCTTCTCTCCGACGTTCTTGTAGTCGCTTCCCAGCAGAGCCTGGAAATATTGATTCACCTTGGTCACTTGCTGTGCCGAGGCAGGACCGAACCCATACTCAATCGGTCCAGGAGGGCGTCTCGACAAATCATAGAAGACTAGATCCAGGGGCAGGAACTGCATGCTGCCATCTTGCGTATCTGTCTGTGGCGTTGTGTGCGGGAGATAATACGGCACTGTCCAGAATGGCCGCGAGCATATATGGTGCACTTCGTATGCCCTTCCAGCCTGGGAAGATACCCCCGGCGTGAAGTTCATCGATGACAAGTGCGTTGCTAGCGCAGACGCCGTCTCGACACCTGACATACTCCCTCCGATGACGATTAACTTGCCCCCTTGGGAGCCTGCTCGCTCGAGAAGCCGCTGCATGTCGCCTTCATTGTGCAGAGATGAGCTATGGACAGTCTGGGCAGAGAAGTCGGATAGTCCGGGAATGTCGGGGATATGCGGTCTCGAGAAGTATCCCGACGCGACGAGGAGGTAGTCAAATTCTTCCGAATGCAGTTCTTGCTCTTCAGTCTCAGCCGAGCTACCCTTCTCTTCCTTTTCCTTTTGATGTTCCCTAGACTCGACAGTTAGCCAACATCCTCTCTCTCCCCTCTACCTCAAGTCCCATCAACTAACCCAACACAAATCACCTTAAACTACTTACCTCTCACAAACCCACTGCACAATCCACCTCGCCCTATCCCCTTCCATCTCCCTCACCGTCCCAACAACTCTACACCCCAGCCTCACCTCCCCATCCCTCTGCCCCTTAACATACCGCCCCGCATAACCCCCAAGATACCTCGCCACCTGCCACGCCTGCGGAAACATTGGAACCACACCCCCTCCCTCCTCACGAAGCACAGACTCCCAGGCCCAATCCGAGAACCCCACCGTAAACCGGCTCAGATTCGTCCGCATCATCGGATCGATCAACCCGCGAGCCGCTGCTAAATCCCCATCCTGATTCGTCCGTCGAGTGCTGCTGCTGCTGCTGCTACTGCTGGTAGAAGGCCATAATCCGCCGATCGATCGCGCTTTGTCGAAGATCGTCGCGGAGAAAGTGCCTTCGGGGTAATTATGGAGGAGGGTTTTTAGGGCGACGAGGCCGGAGGGTCCCGCGCCTATAATTATCTTAATTTTTCTGAGGGAAGGGGGTGGGGGTTGTCTGTTTATGTAGGTAGGTAGATAGTACCTAGGTAGGTGAGGGAGGGAGGGGTACACGTACCAATTATGGCAACTTTTTTGGGTCGGAGCATCGCATCTATCGAGCTGGACTGTAGACGGACGGGTGAATTGAATTTGATGGTGCTCAGAGTTGGGACTTGATATGGAGTGGTGGGATGGATCATGGATGGTTGTCAAGTGCTGGGCGGCTTGCAGATGGACGGACTGACCCCTCATTCGCTCGAGGGACACACATCCCTGCACTTTTTCGTGACTCCACATGGAATGTCTATAGAAAGTACAAGGCACGTTGTTGGGTGCTGCCTAGAATAAGCAGAATGTCAAAAGAAATAAAAATACATTAGGCAGCTATTATCTTGTTCTGAGAAAGAAGGCCTTTTTGGAACCCGTACGTAATATTAGCGAGTGTTGGTGCACAAAAAGATATATTTATGCACGTATACAGACTTGATTTTCTAGAATTAATGACTTTAGCGCTTTAAATAGCTGCTGCAGTCAAAAAGCAGAGCCTGTGGATCAGGCAGAAGTTAATGCCATCTGCAGAGGTCCTGCTAATCTCCATGACCTATCCTATCAATTTGTGTGTGACCGGGAACCCAGCAGACCCGTACAGAGCCACCGTTAGTGTAGGTACGGGAATCTCTCCCGTGGGTATCACGAAGGTCACAATCCGTGACAGTGGGATAAAAATCACATGACTGCGAAGCGCTTACATAGCCTGTTTCAAGACGCCCGACCGAAAAATTAACCTCAGCTCATCTGCAACCACCAGCGACGCGTCGTGGCGCGCGGGTAGTGGCCGGCAGTGGGCGGTCGTCCCTGATCCCGGGCACGGTGCCCGGAATAAGAACATGGTATGAGTATTCGAGAGAGCACTTGTAAATCTATCCTAAGCACGGTGCTTAGAATCGCCCGTTGGCGAGGATGGAATCTGAAGTGAAGCTTGAAGCTTCTCTGTTGGTCCGGGTTGGAGGAGATAGGATGAGCACGTGATCTACTGGAGTATTATGCCACCGGATTTATGCGCGTGGATTAGTCACCTATCTACTTCCACAACAACAACAATCCTACAGAGTAAAATCAACTATTATATAAAAAATGCCATTGACAATCTGTGAGCATTAACTAGGTGCAATCAGTTGCACGCCACGACATGACAATACATAAAGAGCGTGGGCACTATGGAACGATAAAGACAAGAACGCATTTCAACCAGTGACATGAAAACCCTGGAATACTACCTTTGGCCTCTTTACGAGATGAACAAAAATACGTACTAATATATTCCGAACGCCCGTTCTAGCGTCAATGATCACAATTGTGTGGGGGGCTGGCAAAAGACAAATGACGAACAGCCCAAGTTCAGAATCACCCGAGAGTCGATTTATTTTTTCGAGTTCGCTTTCAACTCATCGTAATAACTCTGGAGATCGGTCTCCTTGGGCGCGTCGGTCAGGTATGCGACCTCCTGGTATTGCCGTGCTGTGGCGTGTTAATGATCCTGGTTTCCATAGGATTCGGATGTCAACACTAATGGTCTACTTACTATACTCTCGGAGGTCATTCCACTTCCGCCGGATCTTATCCAGTTCGTTCTTTGCTATGCTGGGATAGTCGATCTCATCATTTTCCTTGTTGAAGGCGTCGTTCAGTGCCTGGAGCATGGTCCCCATGGTTTTCCATGCTCCTTTCAACTTCCCGAGCGTCGTGATTGCAGGTGTAAGAACGTCACTGAGGTCATGGACTTCGGTCTGGAAAGTACAGTTAGCACATAAAAGGGAGAGCGTCAGCAGGTCGGGTTCGGGGATGAAAGGTAATGACCAACCTTCATGTTGGTGACATGTCCTTGCACCGACCCTACAATTCGAATCTTTTCCTCGTCCGAGTTGATGATATCCTGCAACTTCTGGATCGCGTCCATTAAATCGGCAATCTCCCCTTCCATTACCGCAGTTACGATGGCAGCGGCGATGGCACCGACGAAAGGGCTTTCCTTGAATTTCAGCCACGTTCAACTCCAGGGATAGCACAGGATAATACGTACATCCACTCGTAATACACCTCCTGCCTTTCTATGAGGCGGTCTAGATCCGGGGTAAGTACGGGGCATCGATTCTCAAATAAACCATCCCGATATAAGCTTACCTGCATCAATCTTGCCCTGCTTTGACTTGATGATCGCCGCCTGCTTTTCGATGTCCGCCTTCAGACTCTCGATATCTCCATATTCCTTCGTCAATATATTTTCCAGCATTCTCTCATGACCGCTCAGGTCTGTGCTGTATTTCGAGCACCGCGTCTGGAACGCACCGAGCTCGGTCTCGACCGTCCCGGCGGCATCTGCGAGTTTGGTGCAATCTTTCATCTGCATGCTCGTGTACTCTTTGACCAACTCCTTCTGGCTATTCTTTTCTTCGTCGCTCGTCGCCTCATTGTAGGTATTGACGGCCGCCAGCATCGCCTCGTAGAACGAATCACCCGCGTCACCGCCGGCGTTGTCGCAATACGCCCAAATTTGGCCCGCAACATCAACTGTCTTGGCCCAGGTGCCCTTGTTGCCGCTTTCTTCGCGCAAGAAATCGTTGCAGTCACTGTTGATCTGAGATGTTCAAAAGCAGGGTCAGAGGGTCTTGCTCGAATACCGCGTCTACCCTCGTCCTGAATGTACAACGTACGGTTTTAAAGCTCGCGAGCAGACTGTCCACTGCAGTCCAGACGTCTGCGGTGAGTTCAGACTCATTGGTGAGACCCATCTGAACCTGGTAGTCAGGGCGCGTTAGAGGAAGCTTCCGGCCTGTCTGGGTGAATCGGTTCAGCGCCGCCATGTCGCTGCGAGCCAGGGTAAAGGTCTTGGTGCCGTCATCGTCGTCGGTTGCGCTATAGTTATCCTCGTCCTCGAGGTACTGACCGAGGGGATACCAGCGGGTTGGGTCATCGGCAGGTTTGTCGGACATCTTGAGACAGGGGAGGGTAAGGTACTCTTGATTCTCGAGATCAGGGCTTGGGAATCTCAGGCAATTGAATTGGAGACTTGGTTGGTGTTGAAGAAGATGATGAGTAGAGAGAATGGCGCCCTTTTATGCCTAAATTGCACACCCTAGCCCCCTCCTACTCAGTACAATGCCACCGACAATGACGTGTATGAGGTGTAAGATGTGCGTCAGGCAAGCCACGAACTGAGATAAACCTTGCGATTATAGAATAGCCCAGGCCCTTAATTCAACAGATGGTGGCGACACCACAAAAGGGCGCAATTGACTCCTTTGGTGGCTATACATTACTCCTATGATACTCTGAATCTTTTGATTAGAACAAGGTCAAGCCTCTTTCAATCTTGTTTCCAATAGCTGTCTGGATAGTCGAGCAATTTCATGTTCATCTGCGTATATCAATTGACAACACAGCCTGAATACACCCCCAGTACAAACACAACTCATAAGATCATAGAAAACAAGTCTCCCCGCCCGAGTTGCATTTTGTTACATTGCATCATGTATGCTGCTCTATGAGATTGCACCAGTCCATGCAACGTATTCCGGTTTTCTCTTTCCTATGCGCAAGCCACAGGCCGGGGTTTTGTTTGCCAGCTGGCAAGGTGACAAGGTGGACAGAGCCGAAGACGAAAATATTGAAGATAGCTGCAGCGATAGGGTGACATTGCAGGCTCGGTACCTTGTTTCCGCCATCAGGATTGCGCAGCCCATGCTCGTCGTGTCTAGGATAAAGGGGCGAGCTGGCGATATGGGTCCTGCATAGGCATGAGACTAGTATAAGCGCAGGGATTATCTGTAGCTATGCGGGGTACTATTCTCAAGTGGAGAAAGCGATTGGCAATAGCATAAGTCCCACACAGTGGAATAGCCGTAGGAAAGCTGAAAGCCTTGGAAACTCAATGCTATGGATCTCTGGATACCGCACGCCTCCCACCTTAGACTCGGATAGAGGGCGTCTGCAGGGCATGGCTCGAGAATATCAGGACCACTCACGAGGTTTCCCGAACGCCCCGAGTGACGCAGCTATTATTGACCTGTATGGGATGTTCGGGAGTGGCGCTCATGTTTCCTTGGAGATGCAATGCCCATGACGTAAATTGCCGGAGTGGTGGGATGAAAGCAAGTTCATTTGACCGTCGCGCATATCAGGGTAGCCCATCTATGTAAACTCCAGCAGTTTGTTGAAACTAAATCGCCTAATTCGAAAAAGAAAAAAGCTGCGTTCAATTCTTCCACCAAAATGTCTACAAACGACGAAGACTTCCTCACCCCTCGGGGTCTGCTCGTCCAGGGCAGTTTCGTCTGCGATGGACCCTCTTTCAAGGAGTTCCAGGCAGCCGTTGACGCAAGTCTCAATCTGCCATATGATCAGCAGGGATTTATGCGCTGGTGCGGAATATCACTGATGGGTTGGAGCATTGTATGACCTCTACCACACCCCTGTTTTACTTCGTGCTCAACAATGAGAAGCTCGTCACCCAATTGAATCCAATAGTGGATACCTGTTATACAGTAAGTAAATCTAGTTCTGCTCAGATCCATTGTCTGTTTTGACCTCGGGATATTAGGCTGTGCAAGCCATTCAGTTGCTCGGAGTGAGTTGCAATGCCTTGTTTCATTCAAGAGAGAAAAGACCTCATATTGGTTGTCCTAGTACGCATACAGGGAAGTAGGCACAGTCTGTGACCGTATACTCGATACTTCATCCACGGCGGAGCATGATTACGGTAGGAAGGAACATGGCTATCCACTACCATGCTCGAACACCACCTGCTGATCAAAAAAATGATAGACGCGATGTTCCAGGGTCTGAACGACCTTACAGATGACCCCGACAATGGGGATCTGCGGCAAAAAGTGCAGAAATTGACTGCTGACCGTCTGGACGGTGTCACAGCTCTGGAGAGCAAGACAGATGCTACCTTCGGTCAGTTGAACGAAGGCACGGATGGGGTGAAGAACTGCGAAGACCAGCTCAAAACAATTCTTAAGAACCTCAACGGCTCGGAGTTGGAAGACGAACTCCGGGAGAGAGATCCTGCGGATGACCTGGAGGATGACCTCACTGCATTGGGTGTGATTCGAGTATGACCTTGTTCTTTATCTGTCGATCACTTGAAGTGTATTCATAAGCTGAGGATCTACTTTCAGGAAAAGGTGGCAGCCATGAACATGGAAGACCAGTCAGGAGAAGCCATACACAACATGCAACTAGTTCTAGGTAAGGCCAGTCCATCATCCATTGGCCTAAAGCGGGACTAAGCTGCGTGTAATATGAAGGCTCGGTTCGTGTTATTATAACCGATCTCACGGCTATCGAGGATTCGATCGAGAAAGCCAATGCCCCTGCGAATGAGATTATTCTCGGGCATGAAAAAGCTAAGATCATTAGAAAGTGGAATGATCTTGCAGTGGAAGGTAGGATGCGCATTCTTCAGTGAGAAATAACACTAGGCTGATGAAAACCCATGAAGTTCAAAAATTCAAGGACAAATATCTCTCATAAATCCCCTCACCGTGAAGCAAAGATGATCGCAGAGACATTATGGGTGTATGAGGCTAGTGATGTTTGAAGTGATAGGATCCAACTAGTATGTCTGATCGACGAGTGGGTATATTGAAAGAGATGCGATTCATTATCATCCTGGGCTGTTGGGCCTTCTTGAGAATAATTTCAGTTTTCCTTTTTTGCTCTTCTTTTCCTCTTCTCTCCTTTGTTTTTGCCTTACAACTACCTACTATAAGCAGAGCCAGAATTATCCTCCCTTATCTACGGTCGAGAATCCAAGATTGGTCAAGCGCCAAGTCAGTAGAATGGAAAAATCAAATACTTTTTATAGCTTTCTCGATCCTATAAAAATACCTCAGACCCTGTACAAATGAAAGATGCAAACCCTAGAACCTAAACAGTATTAAGGAAAATATTCTCAGCTTGCACATTCCCGAAAAGACACAAAACCAAGCCTCTATCAGGTGAACTAGATCTTCTCAAGCAACAGCTTCGCACCGCTGCTGGCAGGCCCAGCCTTCTTGTTATCCTTCCCAGAGTCCACGGCCTTCTGCAGTGCCTTCTTGTTCTTCTTCAGCGTCTTCAACAACTCGTCCTTCGTTTTGAACTCATCCGACTTCGCCAGAGCCGCCACCACGAAGGTGTTGGAGCCGGTGGCCCACGACATGATCTCATCTTCGATCTGCTAGTACAGGAGCCCGTGGATGTTCAAGACCGGCTGCACCTTCTCCACGGCCTTCTCGGCGGGCTTGAATCGTCCACCCTGGACCAGAGACTTCAACAACCGGCCCACGAACGGCGAGTCCTTGGTGTCGGCTCTGGATTTGGCGGCAGCGGCAACGGCCGACAGAGTGGCGCTCTTGTCTCCATCGGCGTCGAATAGAACCTCCGAGGTGAATTGGCAGTCAAAGCTGGTCTCAAGCAACGCGTCTGCACGGGCAGCAATGAGCTCGAGAAGGTTGGTAATTTATGTAGGATGGTTGACCAGGGAGGGTAGGAGGAAACAAGCCTCATCCCTCGTCGTGGAATTTACCACGAAATATCACGCGAACCGGGCTATTCGGGAGGGGCTGGTACTGAACGCGATTCACCACGAGTGTGTCCTGTATGACAGGACGTGTAGGCTCAAGCAGTGTTATAGATGCCACGAATACGGTTACATCAGACCTCAGTGCGACGCCGAAGAGCGATGCGGATATTGTGCAGGAAAGCACAATACCAAAGAATGCATGGTGAAGGAAACCGACCCCAAGCCGGCACCGATGTGTGTGCTATGCAAAGGACAACACAGGGCATGGAGCGACGCTTGTCCACGGAAAAGGAAGGAAATGACTAGGATAGAGCAAGCGCGACAGAATCGACCCGTCTTTTATCACGAAACGGACGATTCCGGAAGATCAGCGGTAGGAGCCCGCGTGGGAACCCAGACGCATGGCTCGATACGGACGTCAAGTCCAGCGGGAACACAGAATGACCCTAGCACACCAGTGGACCAACAGAGCATAGCCTCCAGTCAACCGCACTCATACGGCCTCAGGAAAGGCATACAGCCACCTACACGGATAACGGGAGAGGAGTGGCAGACGGCGCATAAGAGACGACGCACTATCGCACGCCGAGCTCTTGCCGAAAGCTCCACGAACACTAGAAGAGAAAAAGTTACGATACAGTCCGATAAATTATCTCCAGGGGAAAACATGCAGCCGATCTCAAACTTCTTCGAAGCCACACCTCCCAGCCAGCAATGAACAGGTGAACCACACTGTCAATACTACAGTACAATGTCATGAAGTCACGAGACAAGGTGATGGCGACCCTGTTGAGAGACAGGAAGGTTACCAGCTACGATGTGTTAGCAATACAAGAACCCTGGAGAAACCCGTTTATGCATACAACTTATCATCCTATTCCACAACACTTCGAACTGGCGTACCACGATCACGAGAAAACGCGGGTCTGCTTCTTCGTCAATAAGAGGATTGACAGCAGCCGTTTGTCAGTCACACACCATACTCCAGACCTAAGCTCGCTACGTCTACGCCGGGGAGAAGAAGAGAGCGAGGAGACCGTTATTCATAATATATACAACCCAGTCCCTACCGTAGAGCCGACGAACAGTGCCCTCCCCGCGCTCCATTTAGCGATGGGGCAATGGCAGCAGGCAGAGCAGATCGTCGTAGGAGATTTCAACCTACATCATCCGCATTAGGGCGGCTTGATGGCGCAAAGAGCAGACCCGGAGGCAGAAGAAACACTCCGGTTGATTGAGGAATACGATCTCGCTCTCCTCTATGAAGCAGGAACGGTCACTTACCGAGCCCGAGGCGCAGAATCGACCATCGACCTCTCCCTAGCCACGCCCAGGCTCGAATTGCTATGGATTGCAGCCAGCAGAGCCAGAGACCAGGTACGGGAAGCACGTGGTGGAGAGGCCATAGGACGGGGCCATACTCGGCTAGGCTGGCGCCCCTGGGAGTGGAGCCCGCTCCAGAGGATTGACGAACTCGCCATTTAGAGGCTAGGACAGGCCAATTTAGAGAATCTGGAATACATCTAACCATACATCGCGGCGCCCTACTGGGAACCACCAGACGTGACGATCGATGAGAGCGCGGAACAAGCAATAACAGGCCACAACAACCTCACAGGCTACGGCCAGTCGGCTATAGCGTTGTACACAGATGGGAGCGGGATCAGCGGCAGGGTAGGAGCGGCAGCAGTATGTCCGCAATACCAAGAGACACGGACAGCCTACATGGGCGAACAGCTGGAAGCCACAGTAAATGCCGCAGAACTGCAAGGGATCTTCCTTGCCTTGATTATCATCCTAAGGCATCGAAGCTACCAGGCAGTGGTCTTTACCGACAACCAGGTGACTTTGCAAGCTCTGCAAAACCCGGGAAGACAGTTTGAACAGTACCTTGTAGAAGCAATTATAGTGGCTCTGAACATAGCAAGGGAAGGTGGGCTCACTGTACGTTTTTGATAGATACCGTCACACAGCGGCGTAGGCGGCAATGAGCTGGCTGATAAAGCGGCAAAGGAAGCCACGGAATGGCGGCAGATTCGCGGACATCGTGGCAGGATGAAAGAAGCAATGACCGCAGTAACAGTGCCTCGTCCGATCCAGTAGAGACTTCTTCGTTCGGCGGTAAAATTCAGGATCCGGGAGATAACAAATACCCAGTGGGAAAAGGAGTGGCAGACGAGCCTGCACGGGCGGACAATATACGAGCTGACACCGACCCCAACCAGACGGGTTTTGAGAATATACCGAAATTTTCCTCGCTCCCTGAGCACGGTGATCGTGCTGATGCGCACGGGAAAAATTGGGCTCCGACACTATCTATACTAACGCGGGATACCGGAGATGCAGGACGGAGACTGCCGCTGCGGGAGGGCTACCCAGACCGTACAGCACGTCCTCCTCACCTGCCCACTCTTCAGGAACTTACGCGAACGATACCTGGCGAAACCGGGAGGAGGATTCGAAGGAGGAGGAAACGTGAAAACGATACTGAACACGCCTAGGCTGGCGGTCCGGGCGGCCAAATTTATGCTACAAACGGGGCTTTTTGGGCAATTTGGGGCCGTACAACAGGAAGAAATAGAGGAGGCAGAGCACTGAGGTCAATGGGTATATAGATGTTGAAGAGGACTTGGGGAACCCTGGGCAAATGCCCAAGTGGAGCCAAGCCCTCGATTTATGCAGACATCATCATTATTATTATTTATTCATACCCTGACCCCTCGCCTTAGGCGATATGCAGGATGCTACTATCACTATACTATTTATTGCGTCTTATTTACAGTGAACTATTACTTTCCTGACGAACTTGGAGCCTCGTCAAGGCCTCTGTTGGCCGTTGCCTGGTGTTCTGTTCTGCGCCCTCGTGGCGTGCGACTTCGAAATCTCTGCGATGCCTCTGCAAAGTCCAGTACTGCCCCTAGGACGCTGACACTCTACGCAGTATCCCCTAACTTACCTTCCTTACCTTGACCTGCTCCTCCCAGCATATCTGAAATGTTGTTAAACGCCTCTCCGATCTTCCGTCACAATTCTTGGCGTAGCCCTCTCAACCGTAGGCAGTCAATCAGTACATAAACTACCGTTTCTGTTGCTCCAAATTCACACTGCTCGTTATCGCGGAAGTCGTGTTGCTTGGCGTATGTGGCAAGCCACGAGTGGCCGGTCCGAAGTTGGGTAAGCAGGTAAGCTCGATTGCGAGGAAGCGAGTTATACAGGCGGCGCGTGCGGCTTGCAGGTAGGGTCCGATTCATGCGCTGGAGGTGCCCTCCGTTCTTAGAGGTCTTCCATTCATGTTCCCATTCACTTTTAATCTTGTTGCAGATGAAAACCTTCTCTCGCGATAGAAGATGCTGAAAGGGATAGTTTTTTTTCGCACCTACCGTTTCCTTAACCAGACGGTCCGCTGTTTCATTCCCAGGGTTACCGCAGTGTCCCGGGACCCATTGTAATCGCAGTGGGATTCCTCGCGCCTTTAGCTCTGCGGCAGACTGATGAACAGCTTGGATGATTCGCTGGCCCGATTCGTTCTATGAGTTTGCGATTACTTGCAGCGCGGACATACTATCGCTGAGTATTGTCGCTGGGCCTTAAGTCGCAGTTGTAGTAGCATATTTCTTCCGTATTAGTTGAAAAACCAGCCCGATTGCATAATAGATTGCTATGAGCTCGGCCGCGTAAACCGACCAGTATTCCATTGAGCCGATACTGATTTGTCGGGACTCCGTTATCTGCCGGTTGTGGTTAAGAGCTACTGCTGCGGCCCTTAGTTGATTCCCTTTTCCTGAAGCGTGTGACGTCCTGAGCATGTAGCAACCGCCCTATACCAGGGTGTTCGCATAGTTTGCACGGTCTGGTTCGTTTGTCCCACGCAGTGGGTTTGTTTACTGCTTCATGCAGTAAATCGCTGTTTTCTTCTTCTTCTTTCCTCAACCTAGTGTTTCGTAACTAGCCTACAATAAAGATCATTTCTTCATTCCTGAAGTTGTCACACCGAGAGCCAGTTTGGGTTTCCTAAAATCTACGATTCCTCTATACTACCATGCGTAAGCTATGATATCATATCAGTGATTTCCGTGCGAAATTTTGTATGACGTCTACTTACATGTACTACGTATCGACTATTATGCCAGCCATGCCTACATGTTGCTTGTCCATCGTAGTATTCTAAATCAAGGCTTAGACAAGAAAGAATAATGCTTCATATAAGGGATTTACTCCGATTAGAATCAATCTGTTAACCCTCCGTACTGTAGATATCAAACCATCCAGGCCAAGATAGCTACAAATAATCAACACTGCGTCATAATATTCGAATCTTAGTCTTTTACTTGGTATTGTTAATCCTCAGCATTATGCGTTCTAATGGGGAAACATTAGCATGTCATTCTACCCGGTAGGTATTCAGGATCGAAATTCAGAAAATGTCTATACTAGACTAGCGCTATTTGGTGTTCCGAGGATTTCTTGACTCTCGAGATATCCTGGGCTGCTCCCATGAATATCTGGGCTTGTGCTGTCTTTCGATGGAGAAAGCCCACAAAAATGTTTGCCATATTGGTGCAGCGCGGTAACTATAACATTTCCCTACTGGGGAGAAGGCCGTGGGCATCAGAAGGGATAATAGCTTCACTTATTCGTCATTTTCGTGATGGCAGTGCTGGGTTTTTAAAGAGTGTAGCGGGCAAAAGTAAACTAGGAGTAAAGAAACTGGTAAAGGGAAGGTCGCTAGTTGGGGTACAGTTTATTGAGGTTACTCGGTTAGGGCACTCAGTCTTTCGCTCACCCCGTGCTCAGTGGTCGCCTCAGGCCACTCAGGGCGTGCTCAGGTCTACTCAGTGAGCAAAAAGCGGCGAGGGGTGAGAACTAAAACAGAAAGGGAAAGCTTTCAACCTGACTAGAAAATCAAGTCTGTATGTCTATGGTAAACTCAAATAACCACCTAGGGAACCTTGATCCTAGAATTACGGCTGCAACAGCACTTAATAAATCAAATAAGCCTTTCGAATGCTTAATTGATAAGTAGGTAATTGAGACTGCAAACAGGAATTAATTTAAGGGATTCCCCATGTAATGGATTCAGTTCGAAACCACCCCTAAATTACTGCCCGTAGCACACAAGAAGTTTCATTGCCAATTCTTTTTCTCGCACCAACTCCGGCAGAATAGACAGAAGAAAGCTCCTCTCCCAGCCAACGGAGTGGAGGGAAAAAATCAAAAAGTGATGGCCCGAGCCGCGGATCGAACGCGGGACCTCTCGCAGATATGCTTGGGTGTAACCCCTGGAATTGTTGTTAGTAAGGTCATTATTTGGATGGTTGATATTGTGGATAACATACTAAGCGAGAATCATACCACTAGACCACCCGGGCAATGGATTCTTTTGCTTTCCATATTGGGACTCTTGAAAGATACAGGAGTCGCGAGGCCGGTCGTTGGTTTGTTGATGACTGGCATGCATGATTAGCCGTGTCGTCCTTGCAGGCTCAGCCAGGCCCGCATGCGAAACAATGCATGCCAATGGCGGCTGTGTTCAGCCTGATGACGTGACTATCCAGGACAAGAATGACTGTTTATCTTGGATCCGGATTGAAGTGAGACATAAGCTGCCTGTCTTGGCAGTTTAGTCCATACTCCGTATGTATAGTCATGCACGTTGGATGTCCGATCTCGGGTAGAATATGTTATGTTGTCTGAGACTGACTGTTTCGAGTATCTCGATGCAGATGAAGTTGGTAAGGCGGTCGGTCCCCTTCCCCCCTTAATACCATCAACGGTACATCCCACATCGCATCCACATGATCAATTCGAAACCTGTTCCAGCCAAGCAGACACCGATAACTCCCTGCTATGTTCGTTGGGGTGGCAGGCGTCAGTGAACTCCTGTTCGGTGACGAGGGTATCCACATTCCGCTCCGTCAAGGGGATCTTGTATCGACTCTTCTGCTTGAGGAGTTGTCGCTCGGCGCGAGCGGACGATGACAGTTTCGAGAGGGTATTGCGGATGCGACGAATGCCTCCGCCCGGGAAGTAGGAGATGCGAGGCGGGCCGAACGGCGTGTCGACTTTCCAGGGATCCTCGGAGACGAGGGAGCGGGTGTTTTTCTTGCGTTGTTGCGAGCGAACCTTAGAAGGCATGCTGGCGTTGGATGATTCCATTTAGGGTACGAGGGGGGAGAAGATCATAGTTTTTTTTGTTGTTTTTTGATCAGGTAAGGAGAGAAAGGGGAGAGAAGGAAAGGAAGGCAGGATGGGAAAGGGGGATAATATATCATACGTCAGGATACGGGCGGGTCCCAAGTCCCAAATGAACATGCGGTGCGGGGCCAGAACTGGTCTGGGTCGCATTTCATTTCCTTTCATTTCCTTTCAGAAAACAGAGGCTCTCCCACGGAACTAACGTGCCGAGAAGGGTAAACGGCATGGGTACTTCACTCAACACGGTAATCGCTGCTAAAGTACCGCTTGCTTGGCGCCATCCCGGGGTAGGGCCCATGCGTGGGTCTACGCGGAGGTCTCGCAATAATCCACCGGTCGATTGTTTCGTTCAATGAGTCTGGTCTTTGGTTGAACCAGCTGACTTGTCACTTACCCAAACTGTGTATGTGGCTGCTCACAGAAAAAGGCGAAAAATGTGGCCCCCAAAAGAAAACAGCAACCAAAAAAAAAGTTCAAAGTGAAGCGAGAACCGGGGAGGAGGATGAGGTGGGCGGCCATCCTACGTCATTGGCCCGTCGGACTAGTTTACTAATGGCTAGTCGACCATGAGGTGCTGATCATCGAACAATATGATTTGGCTCGAAGGGATAGGACTGCCTACGAATGCTTGGTGGAGATGTGTCGCTTGGCAGTTGATCTGGCGTATTTTGAGATTAAAGCACCGTAGGTAGCTACGGAGTATACGTACTCCGGTCTCAGGTTACACGCACCGGCATGCCCGCGCATCTGGATTGGTTTCTTGTATGCTTACTCCTCGAGTCGCACCGGTGGCGCATTTTACCTTCGTCTTTCACGCGAGGCAATCGATTATCGATGTACATCCACCGTACATCCTACTCCGATGTACCCCATGGAGTTAACGCAGAAAGGTCATTCTTGGCGACAATGGATCGACAAACCGGACTGGACTAGTTGCCTTAATGCCTTCTTTTCTTTTCTATTTTCTGACCGTCGCAAATCTCAAGAATTCCACGTATGCTTGCCCGTTCTAGCTCTAGATCAGCAAATAGAAATTGACCAGTCCTCCCTGCTCAATCACCTAACCTACCGATAGCTAGACTCATTCATACTCACCAACCACTCACCTCCGCGGGCCTCAATGCTAAGCCGGCGACCAAGGCGGGCTGGAAGGCGGCCAGAAGGAAATGGAAGACGGCGGGACTGCGGGGTCTGCGATTGGTGATTTCCCCTCATTGGCGCATGCCCTCGATCCCCTGCTCCTCCTCGCGGTGCCGATAGGGTCGAGCGTCCGTCGCAGCTGACATCAGGTGGTCACACGTCGATG